TACAACCGCATCATAATGTGACGATTTATTTTTGTGAACTAAACATAATATACTGTTTCGAGAATGAAGAGGCACGGAAGTGTTAGGATTTTGTGCTCTGAGAACAGAGGTTTCAATGATACTCTAGGTGCCATTTTGTAGAGGTATCGAATAGCCCGCTTCTGGAGGATGAAGATCGATTTGAAATTCTGTTCACTGCAAATGCCCCAGAAAGGTATTCCATATCTTATGTTTGACTCAAACAGAGCATGGTATACTAATAGGCCTTTTCATCTAGATCCATTTTTAAGACGCATGCGCTCGTTTTTAGATCCAAAAATATATTGGATGATGCGAAGGTGAAATCTCATTGGCTATAGTTCCAACACAGAATGCTGATTGGCCATTTCGAATGTGGCGGGTATTATTGACGTTCTGTCAAATGTCAACCACCATGGGCATTCGTCATTGAGAAACAACAATAACAACATAGTATTTTAGTTTTTATATTCCTGGTGTGTATTAATTGTATTATAATAATTTTATTCCAAAAAACGTTACTTATTCGTTACTGAGGAGTGTGGTACTGTGGTGTAAGTGTTTCGGTGAAAATGGCCGCCACTGTCATTGGATGCGAGATGTAAACAGAGATAGTCATTTGTCAAATGAAATGGCCTATTTGGACGTGGCCATGGCCTACTTCTCTAGATGCCTACTATCCGCAACGCATAACACCCAGACGCCAATTTTTTATTCAAAAGTTTCACGTGATTTTCAAAGTTGAGTTTGTCATCCAGACGAATTGAAGTTGGAGCTGGATAATCCCTTGGTGGAGTTACGAGCACTGAGGGTGGAAATATATCGATGGAGCCTTATCCCATAGATTAACGACTCCTTATCCTAAAGTTGGACAGGTTTGCAGTCTTCTGAAAAGACATCAGAGGGTGAAAAATTCCAAAGCGATGATGTCCTACAAAAAAAAGAGTAGAATGTAATAATATATCAGGGCCGGCCCTAGACCTAGAAATTATTTCGTTCACAGCGTACTTATCTGTCTGCAGAGGATTCTGATTGGGCCCTATACCTCATCCTACGCTGTAAGCTGTAATAACAGCCTTCTAAAAATAGACTCTTGTCTCATACTCTGAAATCGTGAAGGCCGCGACAGGGTTCGAGGCTACTGAAAAAAGACAAAATCAACAAACGAGGACCGACGAATTACGGGACCACCTTCATTGTGATCATGTGATCATTCAGAACGAACATCAATTTGGTGCTCAAGGATTTTCGCCCGCAACACTTTTTCGGTAGTTGGCAGCAGTGACGGAACCAGGATTTTCCTCAGTGGGCAGGGGCGGATCTAGGATATTTCTGAGCGGGATGAGGGTGATCCCGAAATCATTGAGTGTATACCAAGGCGGGGCAAAGGACCCAACAAATATTTTCGTACCGAAAAAAATGCGCCGCAAGCGATATTTTTTGAGGTTCAAGATCAAATGCATTCAAATGAAAAAAAATTCCTGATTGACGATGACCTTATTACCTATTTATGTTATGCAGGGTGTCCGGAAAGGTCATGTCGTAAATGATAGGACTGAAAGAGAGAACCAAAATAATGTTAGTACTTCATATAGAAAAAAATTCTATCGCAGTTTGTTACGGAGTGATGATTGACCTTGAAAATTTATATGGACTTGAAGAAACTTGTGGGTTGGTAGGGGCCAAAATATAAGCAATGAAATAAAATTTTTCACGAAATCGTAGGCCACACGACTTGTAATTGCTATGCTGTTTTAATCGAACATTTCCAATCTACGTGGAATATTTTCAGTCCTCAATCCTCCAGCTATACAGGGTGTGCTCAAAGTCGGCACCAACTTTCCTATTTCAACTAGAAACCTACATTTTCTTCCACACGGTTCGATGGTCCTTCTTATCCTGAATTTAGACAACCTAATTCATCTAGTTTTCGAGGTATCATGTCGATTTTTCTGAAAATAATTTCCGCCTCAGAAGTTTCCGAAAACATTCGTATCTTGCAAACCGTTCAGAATCAAAGCATCAAATTCGTGGAGCAGTAAATCCTGATATCGATGGTCCCATCGAAGAATCAATTTTATTCAATGAATATACGTTTTCCAAACTGATAACTTTCTATCCTCAAAATGCAAGAGGAAAGATTATTGATTTACTTTTCAACACATATATTTTGAATCTTTTGTGTATCACTTGGAAACAGGTGGAATAAATAGGCACTTTAGTCACTGGAATGACAAGGTTGAATGCCTAAATTTTAATACCAATTCGAAGTGTTTAATCAACAAACAAGTAATCCCATAAACATTTTCTGATTCAGTCACCCAGAAGTCAATTATTAGGTACTGAAGAGCTTGAATGAGGTTGAATATACCTACTCCACTAAAAACTAAAGCAAAAAAGTTAGATTTGAAAATGTTCGGTTAGTATTCCATACAATACAATGTCTTTTCAGACTGAAAAATCTATAAGATTATTTCATTCCATCCTGTATAAACGTTGAAAATAAACTTTATCTATAGGTACCCACTTGAAATGTTTACACATGCTCGAAATTGGATTGTTTCGTATCGAACAATACTTGACTTTGCAAATTCATAACCTGAATTGCTCAACTCGAAAACAGGTAATGAGTACAGATACTTATATTAGTATTTACCTACTTACCTCATACGTTCCTATTATAAGAAACTCTTCCATTAACTCTAACCTTTCTTTCGCGCCACATATTGAAGCACTTTGTCGGCCGCCAACAGGAATAACAGGATGTACCTACGCATTCATAGCGCGGATCTCCAAAGATTTTTCTGATCCAGCCACATCAAAAACGCTATACTTTGCCTTTGTCGATTCAAAACTTGAACATGCTCCTTCAATTTGAAACCCATCTCATCAGTCATATATAGAGAAAGTTGAATCAGTTCAGCGGCGTTTCCTAAAACTTCTTTCCTATAGATCCGATCCGATCTATCCACACATTGGGGTTCCACACGAAAAATTACTAGCTAGACATGCCATGAAAAGCATGTGCTGCCGTCGTGACTGACAATACACAGTGTTTCTATTCTAAATAATAATAATAATATTATGAGTGACCCATATAAATTTTACAGAAGCTTATTTTCACTGTGCCTAGGCAAAACTCTAGAGTGGTCAATACATTTTATCTCCCGACACCACGAACAGATATTTTGAAATACTCGCCTCGCCATAACATGTGTTCCGAGTATAATAACTCATCAGACATTACAATAGAATGAATGAATGAATGAATGAATGAATGAATGAATGAATGAATGAATGAATGAATGAATGAATGAATGAATGAATGAATGAATGAATGAATGAATGAATGAATGAATGAATGAATGAATGAATGAATGAATGAATGAATGAATGAATGAATGAATGCATGCATGGATGAATGCATGGATGAAGGAAGGAAATAAGGAAGGAAGGAAGGAAGGAAGGAAGGAAGGAAGGAAGGAAGGAAGGAAGGAAGGAAGGAAGGAAGGAAGGAAGGAAGGAAGGAAGGAAGGAAGGAAGGAAGGAAGGAAGGAAGGAAGGAAGGAAGGAAGGAAGGAAGGAAGGAAGGAAGGAAGGAAGGAAGGAAGGAAGGAAGGAAGGAAGGAAGGAAGGAAGGAAGGAAGGAAGGAAGGAAGGAAGGAAGGAAGGAAGGAAGGAAGGAAGGAAGGAAGGAAGGAAGGAAGGAAGGAAGGAAGGAAGGAAGGAAGGAAGGAAGGAAGGAAGGAAGGAAGGAAGGAAGGAAGGAAGGAAGGAAGGAAGGAAGGAAGGAAGGAAGGAAGGAAGGAAGGAAGGAAGGAAGGAAGGAAGGAAGGAAGGAAGGAAGGAAGAATGGAAGGAAGGATGGAAGAAAGGAACGAACGAACGAACGAACGAACGAAATAAATAAATAAATAAATAAATGAAAATAATTTGAGAGACGAGAAAGAGGTGACAATATTAATTCCTATCATTAGTCAAATATTCCGCAAGTGTCTCAGTATACTTGTTTCAATGAAATATCTAGTTCTTTTCAGAAGATTTGAATTATTTTAAAATTCTCACGATATAGATGACCGGAGCGTTTTTACTCAGTTTTCGAATTTTGCTCAAAATTTCCATTTTTACGATGTATAACACTTTGATCTCACATCATGAATTGAAAGAACCAAACTGACGAAATGATAATGTCAAAACTGTCACCTAATCACCTCTCAATACATATTACCCATCAAATGACAGATGACAGATATCATGATTTTTTGGATTGTCTGTGTATGTGTCAAGAACTATGTCAGTATTGGCGATATGAAGATTTCCACTTGTGCATCTAGTGGTTGAAACTGAAATAACTTGGAATCCGTGAAAAACTGCATTCATTTCAATGAAATGAAATAAAAAAGAAAAATATTTCCTGAAAGTTCAAAACCAAATTTGAGGTTGAGAATTCTTGACAAAATTACAACAGTCAATAATTGGAATAACGTTATGTCGTTAACCCTTTTGATTGGTCACGGCCGGATGGACCATCCTGTTAAGTTTAAAATTCGCTTGAGACTTGCCAGCATTGAATCAAGGAATTTAATGTTTCGTGATATAACTTTTGTTATTTTTCATAATACTTAACCTCAGTTCACAACACTTACATGTCGTTATTGAAAGATTCGCTCCAATTAGAGCATACATTATTTATTGTCCACCAAAACGCGCCACTGAAACTTGAGGTCAGGGTTGGTAGAACTGATAAATATACTTTTTACTTTCATGTCATTTGGCATCTTCCTACGATTAGTTTTAGTAGCACCAACTGGTGAGATTGAAAATGCTAGCCCCAATTGGTTAGAGCCAAATCGTAATATTGTGGAGCTGACTCTTGTTATGTAGTCGTGGACTGCATGTGACGAAGCAACTATTAAATATTGATTTGTTATTATTGATTGTTGCAGGTGATCCTGGTGGTCCGGTGAGGGAGGAGCCTGGCCATGCGCCTGGGCCTGGCTTCTCTGCTGGTCGTGCTGCTGACTGTCCTCCTCCCGCCACCCTCCACACGCGCCGCCACTCCCCCCACCGCAGATGACGACGGCCTCGCTGCGCTGTCGACACGCCCCGTCAGTCTCCGCCCTCTAATCGACCGCGCCCACTACAACGGCGACCAATCCCAGTACATCGGCGACCACGCCTATATGGACCGCGCCTACTCCACGGCAGACCACGCCTACGCGGTCGCCGATCGTCACCGGTTTCGCTCGAGGATGCTCGAAGGGCCTGTCGGCAGCTCGTCCGAGGAGGACTCGTTCAATGTCATAGACGGCGGCGACGTTTACGGGGGCCACAAGGAGAATTTGTCGGTGGGCGATTTGAAGAGTGAACGGAGATCGCAAGAGACGATTCTGACTGTCGGGTATTTGACGGCGGTCAAGGGGGATATGAAAGAGAGGCAGGGCAGGCAGATCTCGGGGGCTGTTAAGATGGCTTTGGATGAGGTGAGCATCTCGCTCAAGTGTTCGAGGAAATCATGTACCGATAGATGGCACTGAAAAAACGTCAAATTTTTAATTGAAAGTTGCCATTTCTTATAAGGTTCTAACGTAAATTGGTCGTTTTAAAATCGATATTTTAGGAAACCAAATCATCAATCTGGGATATTTGTGATGGTGAGCAATTGATTAACATATATGAAAAGCAAAAAATGAACTTCAAACAAGTTTTATCGATTCATATAATGGTTTCTCCACTACCCCTACCAGATCAATGGAGCTATTCTGCTATTCAACTATTGTCATGTCATTTCTTCATGTCTTATCACTTTTTACTCTTTTCTGCTTCTATTTTACAAAATAAAGATACAGGTAAGGTTTTTGAATATGTTGGACTGAGTTTGTGATTACATATGAGTTCTTTTGAAGAATATTTATTAAGGAAAACTCATGATAAGTAGGTTCATCAATCTGAATTTGGATTAATTCTCGGATTGATCCTATATGTTCTTTCATAAATATCTACACAATACAAAATTTTAGTCCTCCTCATTTCTTTTCGGGTTTTCAAGTATAATGACTTCAAATCTTCGCACTGGTGTTTTTTGCTTTGTAGTGAGGAAAACTGGAAAATAATTTTGATTTGTTCAGTAATCCAATGAATACCTAGGTCTCAAATGCGTTCAAGTTCTCACCACACACCAGGCAGCAGAATTTTCCCGATTCCCGAAGTTACTCGAAATCATGAACTATACGAAGAATTCTCTTCCAGAATTCACATTTCTTCCCAGGAAACTAAGAACTCACGGCGCAGGCAGGTCAATGCTGTCAATGAAGATCTTGCTGAAATCACAGCCGGGGGAACAAACAACCTAGTTGAATTCAACGCCACCAAAACTCAAGCCTGCATTTTCTCTAGAAAGGCGGAACTCAGTATGCCCGATATTGTAATGTCTGGCTCTACCATCCCCACCAAGCCCACCATATCTATGCTCGGTATTTCCATCAGCAACACTCTTTCATGGGATAATCATGTCAGATCCATCGCAAAAGCTGCTTCACAAAGACTCGGGTTCTTGTTCCGTGCGAAAAGCTACTTTACACCTCAACAGCTTCTCATGATCTACAAAGCGCAGATACGACCTGTTCTAGAATACTGTTCCCACATATGGGGTTCAGCACCAAAACATACGCTGATGCTCTTAGATTCCATCCAGAGAAGAGCCATTCGCCTGGTGGGTGACGCCACACTCACTCACTCTTTGACATCATTGGAACACCGTAGAAAGGTCGGCGACCTTTCACTTTTCTATCTATACTTCCACGGGAAATGTTCTTCGGAAATCTCTGCTATCATCCCTTCACTAGCAATACCAATCAGACGAACTAGACAAGCCCAGTCAGCACATCCTTTCGTTGTCAACCTCGAAAGATGTCGAACAGCACTTTATCAAGACTCCTTCATCCATAGAACGGCTAGGCTCTGGAATTCATTGCCTGTGGAAGTATTCCCAACAACATATAATCTCCAAAAGTTAAAAAAAAATTCCAATACCTACCTCCTGTCCCTATCCTCCCTAGGAACGCACGATGTTCTTTGAACATTATAGGGATTCCCTTTCGTGCGCTCCAAGCGATAAAAAAAAAATACGAAGCTTCGCTGGCAGGGTGGTACTATACAGTCTCCATATTACTCTGTTCGTCCTCTGGCATATTGTTTTTCTTTGTATACGGAAATGTCCAAAGGCAATCATTTTTTATTGGTGATTGGAACTGTCTTATATAAAAAAACGTTACGTGAGCCTTCTACGCTTTCGTAAGTTTGAGTGTCTATTATTATCCCCACCATTCGCGATTTCATTCCATTATCCGTGTGCGGCGTTTAGGATTGTTGGCGTACATACTTTTCATTGATTTGTGAATGAATAGCGGTGTCCATCTATTGTTATTTAGTCTGAGCTTGTCCATATGTGATATGCAGGGTGCCTTTTTATTGTTGTTCGCAGGTGAACAGCGACCCCAGCATCCTGCCGAACGTGCGGCTCGACTTGCGCTGGTTCGACACGCGCGGCGAGACCGTTTTGGCGACCCGAGCGATGACGGACATGCTGTGCGACGGCGTGTCGGCCTTCTTCGGGCCCGAGGGCACCTGCCACGTCGAGGCGATCGTGTCTCAAGCGAGGAACATACCCATGATCAGCTACGTGAGTTGGATAAAGATTATTTACACTAACATGTTGCCTTGGATCATGCTTATGAGAGCAATGAAGCCAGATAGTAAATTCAGTAGGAGGCGGTATCTAATTGGGACATTTTTTGGCGACAGGGTGAACTACTTTTAGATGATGACAAGTGATGTTCTCCCATTTTACACAGCATGTCTTCTTGAGGCTTCATAATCAACCTCAAAAAATAAAAAATAGACGGGTTCCTGTCCGCCCCACGTGTGCCCTTCATAAAGAAAATCACTTTTCCTTATGAAGTGCACATGTGACGAGAGCCTAAAGTTTTTGAACCATTCCCAAACCTCATTATCAGATTGGTCACAGTGAATCACTAGTGGGTGAAGAAAGTGTTTTTCCACCACTAGCTGTGGAACCTACCATTATTCACTCCTTTTCAATGCGTAAAGTGTGTTTTTACTACCAAGGTAGATTTCGTCATTTCATGAACCACTCGTCAATCATGACATAGCCACCTCTGTTATAGATAACCCGAATTCACTGTTCTAATGCGATATCCGCAGAGATGGGACTCGGATCTAGTACGTATTTATCAATAACGACTTGACATATGCTGACAATAGCCGTTACCACCGATAAAACAAGGCCAGCAGACTCTGACGTAAACAGCTCCTGACGTCGCATACTCAGGCCATCTTCCAAGGCATTCGCGTCGATCGATCGTCAGTTTGTTTTTGTTTAAGAACGGTGGCGTAGGTAAATCGCGTATGCCGTCGTGTGCTCGAATTCTCTTGTTGTTTATTCATCAAAATAATTGGCGGAGAAATTACTGTTTTGTGAAATATTTCGTGTTGTGATAGGCGAAATAACAATGCCTTACAAGTGTTGTGTTCCCTTTTGTCGGGGGAATTATGTGGGTGGTCCAAAAGTTCATGCTTTTAGTTTCCCGTTGGACAAGGAACTATCGAAAAAGTGGGTACATGCAATTCACCGCAAGGATTTTACGACTCCATCTAAGTACAGTAAAGTATGTGAATTACATTTTACTAAAGATGATATTATTACTTCATCTACTGCAACCGATTCAAAAACTGGCAAAACTGTAACAATAGATTTGAAAATTCCAAGGCTCAAACGAGATGTTATTCCCACTCAATTTCCCAACTGTCCATCTTTTTATCGAAAGATGTAAAATTACGCACAAGTCGTGATGAAAAACTTGGGATACTAGAGACTAAAAATTTGGCACAAGCACTTACCAAAAGTAAAACTGAATTCGAAAATTACCAAAAATCATTTTGCTACACAAAATTTCAAGAATTTCTAGTTGTATTAGAGTCTTTTCAGTTGCCCGAAAAGTGGTTCAAAATTATCGATTTGCAAAGAGTCACATTATTCAAATTGTCTTATTCTCCAGGGCCCGTAATTACATATTCGGTTGTGATTGATTTTGTTTTGAATGTGGAATCATTTTTGTATGACCTAGCGATACAAACATCTCTAAAAGCTAATCTGAAAACACCTTTTATCTCTAATAATATCAATCAAATCAAGGAATTACTAATTGAAATAGATAAAAACGAGATACATAATTCGGGAAAATGTCTTGATAATCACAAAAAGAGGGTTTTGAAACATATTTCGAATGTATTGGACTCTTTGGTTTCTGACTCAATACATTCTCAAATTTCTTTCTGAAAACGGTCATTTGCCTCGTGGCAATGAATGCAGAATTCATTCCAATGATCAAATTGCAACTATTATATTAATATGTACTACAAACACTCTACTTAAAAATTACTGTTTCAAGTCTAACGACCAATTGGGTAAAAAATCCAACAACAGGAAATTGGAAACACTCACTTGCTAATTTTTAAGGTAATAGGAATTCTCCAAGATAAATATAGGTAATTAGGTATAACAACGGCATGTCTATCAAACTAAAATACATTTTCCCCAATTTTCTTTCGATCAATCTCATGATAAGTTTATGTTCTGCGGGCCCTGTATAAGTAGGTGTGAAGTTTACCTCTAATGAGATTGAATCACTACAATTTTTGCCAATATATTTAATTCGAATGGATTGCTGTAGGTGGGTATTTGTGTTTTATTCTGGTTTTTGCTTTGAAACTTCGTTTTTCCATAATAAAATCGAATGGGATGCGAAGAAGGGCCCAGTTGACGGCTGGCATCCTCTTTCAACCGGAAGCCCTTCAAAAAAAAGCAAAATCGGCTCAATAATGATCTAAAACTAAAATCGAAATACGCGGTCGCCTTATAGCGCTGTAAGCGCTTGTCGTTTCGAGCCGCTGGTTAGGCCTGACTAAGTGACGTCACCCACGGAGCATGCAGGCCTTGTTTTATCGGTGGTAACGCAATAGGTCCATATTTCACTTTCACAGAACGATAATGATTGAAATATATTGCATTTGGTGAAAAAAATTTAATATACACCATGGTAGTGAAGAATATCATTACCACGGGTGAAGCCTCTGGATATGATCTTGGTCCCTGGGTGATAATGATATTCTTCACTACCTTGGTGTATAAATAACTATTTTTCTCCTATTTTTCAGAAATGCTCGGACTACAAAGCATCGGAGGTGCCGACTTTTGCCAGGACTGAACCTCCAGACACGCAGGTTGGTATGACTGTTTTCTGACACTTCGATAGTCCACTCATTAAATTTAATTTGTTACCGCTTTGTATCTACTAATGTGTTGCCACACTTGAAAGCATATTATTTCATGTGGTAGACGAAAATAATGTGTCTTGAATAATGGCGCGTTCACATGCTGGCTTTTCGCCTTTTGACTTACAGCGTATCCTCATCTCATTGGCCGATTCATCAGAAAGCGCTTATCAAGGTCATAAGCTAGAAAGTCAGTTTCAGTCCGACTTTTGCGGAAAAAAGCTCAGATCGTTTGACAGAACCACACAAATATTGACAAAATGAATACATATTGGTGCTATATATTATGCAGTGTGGGAAACAGTAGTGGAAGAACACTCCTAAAAATGTGATATATGTTGTTTCTGGAGGACGTACATCTGAAATTCAACCAAATATGTGGCAGTCACTGTCACTTTTCCAACTTTTTCATGTGAACAGTGCGCCCGTTTTATTCAAGCTTTCCGCTGTAGGCATAAGCTGGCATGTGAAATCGCCATAAGAGACGATTGTATTTTGGAGAAGATTTCATACCTTACATTTTCGACCAATTAAAAGACTGTATTTACATTCAACTTCAGATTACGTCTGATTAATTCTATATGTTGAGAAGTTCCTTGTAAGAATACTAATTCATGTACCAAGGGCTAAACACTGTATATTATAGTAGAGTCTGCAAATTGATAGCCGAGGCCTAGGCCGAGGCTAGCAATCAGGCGATACAATAGACAGTTTTTCGCCTAAGTGCATATTAAAATTTTTCGGAAACGACGAACAAACACTTATATTCACTTCACGGTCCTATTCACACGTGAAATCTATCGGATTTCGTGAATAATTAATTTGACAACAGCAACTGACAGTTGTTGTCAACACACTCTCCGCGCGAACCAGGGTTGCCAGATCGATTTTTAATTCATCAATGAATACCTTGTCGAAACTTCAGATTTCAATATTTCAATAAATCTGTTGAATATCTATTTGATGTTATACGAATTCCAAGAAAGGATAATGAAATGAACCTATATGACGTCACAACATGTATTATGGTATGGTCTAAAAATATAACTTACATCATATTATTTTATCCGATTTGAGAGATAATGTCAATTCTCAATATTAGAGGATTTTCATATTTCATGCTCTCTTTTTGGATGTTCAACAGATATAATTCAATGTTCGACGTGGCAAATAGCCAGGAAATTAGTTGTTTTCTGTTGAATAAACCGAGAAAGTGTGTCCACCTTAAGGACTTACCACCCCTGTGAAATTGTTATGATCTGACCTATCTTTTTTTTTGTTGGATAGGTATTTGAAATGTCCATCCAACAAGAGAGTGATTTTACTCATGAACTGTAATCGTGGCCAACTGCGACCAACTTTATGACCCATATTTGAGAAAGTACTATTAGGGATTTTTTTTTTCACAAAAAACAATGATGGTTTCTGAATCACGATCACTTTAAAAACACCTTTACTAATTTTTATCATCATAAAACACAGGGTGTCCGAAAAACCGAATTATGTTTTTTTTTTTAATAGGTGATCAGAAAATGTAGTATTGTGGTATTTTTGAGAAGAATTGATGACACATTATTATTGAGGATCACTTTGAACATATTTGTACCGATTTTCATCATGTATATGAGAAATCAATTGAAAGGAAAAAGTAGGCAATATTTTTTCATCAACTCAAAAAAATATATTAATTTGATTTTTCGAACACCCTGTGTTTAATGATGATAAAAATCGGTACAGGTATGTTCCAAGTGATCCTGATTGATCTTTTTAATTTGAGTGAAGAATTATCAGGATGAAAAATATTACTTACCTATCCTTTTTAATTTTTTTCTCAGACACATTGTATATTCAAATGACGAAAATTGGTACAGGTGTATTTGAAATAATCCTCAATGATAATTTGTGATTATTTCTTTCTAGAAAAACCACAGAACTACATTTGCTGATCACCTATTTGAAGAAAATGATGATTCGTTTTTTCGGCACTCTGTGTTTTATGATGATGAAAATCGGTACAGGTGTATTTCAAGTGGTACTGATTCAGAATCCATCATCAAGTTTCGTGGAAAAAACCCCTAATAGTACCTTCTGGAATATGGGTCATTGAAATTTGTCGCAGTTGGCCACGATAACAGTTCAAGAATTAGATCACTCTCTCGTTGTATGGGCATTTCAAATACCTATCCAACAAAAAAGGTTTTTTGAAATTGGTCGGACAATAACGATTTTACAGGGGTGTAAGTCCTTAAGGTGGACACACTGCATATGTCCATTTTTTCATGTTCATAATTATATCTGAGAATATTCCTTTTCGATATTAGAATATAGGCGACTGAGATTAAGATCGCAGCGCCAGAACGGCGAAAATGGTACTACTCTATGGGCCATTCCTGGATTGTTTATATTTGTTTACAGGCGATATTATGCTATATTTTCAATGTGTTGAATATTTTCAAACAAATTTATTCAATAACTTCTCAAATGGAACACATGTAAACTAATTTGAACAAAGTTAGACAAAGTATTACATGGCTCATACGTTAGTTATATTCAGGACGACAGAGGGCGTACTCCTTAGCATGTTTCGCCTATTGTCTCTATTTTGATAAACTCATACTATAATTTTCAGGTTACCAAATCCGTAATTTCTCTGTTGACCTATTACAAGTGGAACAAATTCTCCATCATATACGACTCCGCTTACACGACTGTAGCGCTCTCCCTCAAGGAGCAAGCCAAAGCGAATAATATGACCATCAACTTCAAGAGAGAGGCCATGAGCAAACACAAGTGCTGCGAAAATGATTTGTCGTGTTGCCAGATCGGCGATTGGTACAAGATCATCCAAGATACGAAGAACAAGACTCGAAGTAGGTGCATATTCATGTAGTTTCCGCTGATTATTTCCCAAAGTCGGTCGACCAGAATAGTAATTTTCCTAGCAAGTGCGGAAAGTGATTCTTTCCCGCACGCGACTGCCGATGACACGAACGACGCGAAGCGGAGTTCGGGAAAGCAGTCTAGTGCGGGAAAGACACTTTCCGCATGAGTTAGGAACAATATTTTTTCTACAAGCGTAGGAAATTGATTGATTATGATTTGTTCAATTAATTTTTCATCCATTTAGGAACAACTAACAAGAGAGAGAAATATATTCTCTATCAACTGATTATTAGTAATAGCTTTTGTGAACTTACAGTTACGAATTATGTATAGATTCATTGCGGAAGCCAGCAGGCCCATAAGGTGTTTGGTCTCTGGGTTTCAGACACTTCTAGGGAATGAGCCAAAAATACGTCTTCTTTATTCGGTAAGAAATGAAAAATTTCTTTATTGTTGCACCATTCAATAAAACGCGTGTATAGCTTCTCATGCCTTTCTTAAGACTTCGTTGGCAATAACGCATCTGTATCGAATCTCTATAGCTAGAAGTTTTTGATCACATTGTGGCAATTCCACTGAATCGAAAATGACAGTAACGCTGTGTCTGTCACTTCGACAATTACAAACTCATTTGAGGTTTGATTGGCATGACAACAATGATCGTTTCCCATCAGATCAATCCAAATCTATAGGGGGATTTTTATGATATTCAATTTTTATTTTTCAATATTTCTCAATTTTAACAATGAATAGTGCAATTTGATGGATGATTCTGATCATACATACTCAATACTGCAACAAACAAACTTAAACTTTCATATCCCATCACCAACCACTTATATATTGCGATCTTAAAAAATTTCCAGCATTGTTGCGGGAAAATGACACTTCCCAAACTAAATTGCGTGCGGGTATAGGGTGAATCACGCACGCTTGTAGAAAAAATTATATTCAAAACGATGAGTATGTGTTACTATTTTCGGCCCATACGGCCACCAATATTAGTACCTGTAAGGGAAAGCAATGAAATACTATACAACAAAAATATGGAAAGAAATCTTACTTAAGAGAATGCATGTGTGAAAAGTGAGGTTAAATTAGGTTGTAGCCGGAAAAACAGTCCTGATGGGAACAATCAATGTTTATATCGACTGAACAACCAAAAGTATCGATTTACCATCAGGTTGAACATCAGAAGAACCAAATGGTTGAGTTAAATAGTAATTACCATAAGTTAATTGGATGATTAAGTCACCATGCCACTGAGTACATGATAGGCCTTTTATGCAACCGAATTCCATTTATAACGTCGCATCGAATATTTGAAGTGACATCAAAAAATTGATGAGCTTTTATGCAAAAATTTCAGCAACAGGTTGCTGGCTTTGTCTTGCGGCCGCCAGTTTGATGATCTCAATATCTGAGAATATTCAGCAACCCTCTAAAGATAATGTCCGATGGACCAGTGTAAAACTCAACAGGTGGATTAGAACACTTGAAGTGTGAGCACCACATGAGTTTGACACTGGTCCATCGGATATCATCTTTCGACGAGGGCGAAATATTCACGGACATATTGACGCTCTGCCACTAAATTAGATCAGTTTGAATCGCGGCACGTTTGGATATTCGCGAAAGGGACATTTTTTTTCCTCCCATTTGCTTTCTGTTTCAACTCGTTATCACATGACGGAAGTAGGTACAGGTAGATTTTTGATATCTACCATTCAATTGGTATTGGATGGCATAATTCTCATATCGTTATCAAATCGCGAAATCGAGTGAAAATTTCCGCACAGGAAAGTGCAATTTTTCAATCATTCTGCTCAGGATAGTGATTGGCACGGATGCCGCTCGACAAACTACAATGTTTTTACTTTATTTTGGGACATATAATATTATTTCGTTATCAGATGACGGTAGAAATCTGCAGCCGGATCTCCTACTATAATATATCTGCACTTGTTCAATGAAGGAGTACAGAAAAATAACATTCCACTTCTTAGTCGCCATACAAAAAAACACGTCATCCCACCTGATGGTAACAACTTGAACACTTCTGAGCGGTTTTTTTTATGATTGACCAATAAGCACAAACAAAAAACGAATGTGAACCAATGAGAACAAAGTAAACAGGCCGCTTTGACAGCTTTCAAGAACTCCGATAGATAACGTAGGCTTATTTTCTATCGCGAATAACAGATATTTGTCTCATGATTTTTGTTGTTCAGGTGTTTAACAACATGACAGGCGTGTTCTCACTCTCACTCTTCAAAGAGCGTAAATTGAGATTGAGGCAACTGAGATCGGTTAAATTATGGTGAAGTTGCGCAATTTTATGCTCAACAAAATGTCGTTTTCAAACTAATTCAAAATTCCGAATAATTTCGGAGAGATACGAAGAAAACGATATTTCCTAAAACTATAGTTTTCATGTTATTTGGAGAAATTAATCGAAATGAATGACACTTTATCATGGCCACTTTTTCATCTCTACAAGTTGGCGATTTCAAATTTGTAATCCGACGTTTCGTCTTCCAGAAACCATCATCAACTTATCTTTTTGCAAATACGGACCTGTCACAGTTATTTATTCGTTTAAGAAATTTACATTTTCTGTATTTTTTTAATATTCAATACGAATCTGTCAATTTTTGTGAACAAAACATTCGAAAATTAAATGTTGTGATAGCTTATAGCTTTTGGAATATCCGAAGGTGTGAAAAAATGAAAAATCCAGGCCTGTATTTGATGGTTTCAAATTTAAAAACGCTAACTTGTAGGGAAGAAAAAGAAGTCATGATAAAGTGTCAATCATCTTGATTAATTTCCCCAAATAATGATCACTGCACTCTTCTTTTTCAGTTTACGTATTTCTGGGTACCCCTTTGGCCCTGGTGGAGCTCATGGATTCCATGCAAGTGGCCAAACTGTTCGATAACGGAGAATACATCGTGATTTACGTCGACATGAACACTTATTCCGAAGCCCAAGCTTATCAGTACCTTTGGAGTAAGTTGTGGATTTTTCAAAACAGAGCTGTTACTCAAAAAACAGAGAACATGTCGCATATGGACGGTGTCAGCTCTCTTAATTACCGCTGCAATAAGAGCGCTGATACCGTCCAACCGCGACATGTTCACTGAAGACGAGTGTACATCGTTACTAGTTCTGTACTACGACTACTGCCAACATCAGACAATGGGCTTATATCACAAAAAAAAATGTATTTCATAATTCGATAGAACTCACACAAACTAGCTCACCACCGCAAACCGTTTCTTGCTGTGAGCTCCCTACGTTTCATAAAAAAATATTGAAATCCCCGATTTTTCGGACCTCTGAATACGAGGCGATGATGTGACCCTAATACTGAAAAAAGACTATTCCAGAGAGAGATGAATGAGACATGATTTCTGACAGAGTGAATTAGCGCGAGATCACAGTTGAAAGAATTAATATATCCGTTGCCTCAGTCTCCGTCGGGCGTTTGGTATTTTCTTTTAACTATGGCGAGATGAGGTTTTTACGTCATAAGAAGGTCCGTTTTCAGAAGGTACTATTATTTATGTCTAAAAATGAAATATTCCAGTTAATTTTTCAATCGAATTATGTCGTCAATCATTATTTATGTATGAATGAGTTGAAAGTTCTACTGAGGTTGTTATATATATTAGTAGTGATATACTTGGCAACGTCGCAGATGTGATTCCACAGTAACTTCTGAGATGTCGTACTGAATGTACCGCTGATTCATATGACGTTAAATAAATACCCTCTAGTGTAAAGTGTCGTCTCATTTATCAATCATTATCAGTTATAACACAATCAAGTATATTACATGGTGGCAGCGGTGGGTACACGCCCATCGAATTAAGAAGCGTTAGCAAACCGAACATTTGGAAAGTTGGGAAAACTGAACAGATTTTTATACCAACTCACAACAAACCACTTTTTGTGGCTGTTTAGCAGATTCTAGAAACATTGAACCGATTCGACTTTTTACACTTATGTAAATCAAGGAGTGCCACCACTGCCACCTTGAGCCCCCCACGAAGTTTCCTTATTATTCACATCAGGGTTGCTGAATATTCAGGCAGTAGGAAAAATTATATATATGTACATTAGTCGAATGTTGGTTGATGGAAATCAATAGGAAATGTAAACATTTCCACAAACTATGAGATTCTCACTTCCAAGTGAAATACACATACATGGTCCTTCACGACGAGCAGAGTCGAAATTTATATTATGCGAAACTACCGAGACTAGTTTTCCAAAGTGCTCTTTTGAACTAGAATATTTCAGTTTTCTGCAACTTCCGCTAGACTTCAACTTCGTTATTTTGAATAGATAATGTACCATTTTCTTCATTCAATTCCTGGAATCGACGATGAGATCCAATGATACTTCATCCATAACATCATATGCCTAGAGTACGCCATTTTTGAGTTATTCAAGATTTTTCGAAATGTTTGAAAGATGTGGAACAAAAAAATATGTTTGGAAATCCAAGATGGTTGGACCTAATATTTTCAGGTTCTACATAAACATTAAATCTATAGCTATCCAAATCTCTGAAAACTTTTCGAAAACATACAGGGTGCTCAGAAACTGGATCAAAATTTTTCTATTTAAAAAATTCGAAAACGCAACTTTTTCGAATAGTAACCCTCCTTTTTGTTTTCACCAGATCATTCTCTGCTGAAAAGTAAGGGAACTTCAAGTTCAAATCACTATATCTTAAATGAACAGTTTTTGCAGAAATTGAAGAATTTCAAATAATTGTCGGCGCCGTTAGATTTTATTGATAGGAAACTGCTATTTCCACTCTCTTGAGTTATCTATTAAGTCTGCTCACCAGCGTTTGATTACAATGTAATTTGAATAGTTCCTTATCAATGAGAATCCGATATACTTAATAATATCAGTTGGACAGTTTGTATTGGCTTGCCAAAAGTTGAAGTAAACTTCATTCTTATGATCATTACATGCGCTACTATTGAACGTCAAATGATTCGCAGTTCTTGTCTGTTGATACTTCAGCTTTTGATTCCTTAGTTCCTTCAAACCAAAAGCCAACTGATGATCTGGAATTCTTCAAAAACCACGAATATTTAGGTATTTTCAAGTTTCTTCAAAAACTGTGCATTTCAAATAATTATAGTGATTTGATGGTAAACTCCTTCAACTTTTCAGCGTAGAACCCACAGATGAAGAGAAAAAAGGGGAGGTGACCTTTTCAAAAAATTGAGTTTTCGAATTTTTTTAATAAGAAAATTTGACTTCAATGTCCCGTATAAAAAATAAAAACCACATAGTTACCATAAAATACCACAAAATCTCAGTAGAACTGAGCATTGTCGATCTAAATGAAAACCTAGTAGGCGACCTAGTGCGAGGAGGTATCCTGCCTACTAACTACCTAACTAGGTTGTCATCTAGAACGACAATGAACTGAGAAATAAATAAAGCCTCTGTGATGTCATTTGAAATACAGGGTGTCCCACTAAGGTCGGCGAGATACGATATCATGGAAATCATAAACCTCAGGACTTCGATGAAAAAAATTGAGGACTAAATCGGCCAAGAAAAATTGATAGAAAATATTTTCAAGTTCATAAAATGACCGCTAGGGGTCGCAATCTTTATGATAAAACTAAAAACTCAAATTTTTCGAAAACTACTAGATTAAGGTACTGTTTCATTGACGGAAATGCAAAGTTCAGAATATATCTAATCGCGGTTTTCGCCAAAATGTAGCTTATTTTATGCGTTTTGGATCTGGTGATCAAAATATGTAGCATCCCATTTGATTTTTTTGGAAAAAATCAAAAAAACAGAATCTTTGGTGAACGACGCCATCTAGCAGACGCTGTGAGAACTAGAGATCAATGTCAAATTCAGTGTTTAAATTGGTGTGTAAATGAGCCCAAGTTGATCAAATTTGGAGAAAGGATATCGGAGATAAAGCGTTTTCAAAAATGATTTCTTCACCAGCTTTCCCCACCTTTATTTTTCAAAATATGAAAAAAAGTCCGGGCACAAAACTGACGTGAATTTTAATGAACTTTGCATTTCCGTCATTGAAACAGTACCTTAATTTGGTGATTTTCGAGAAAAATTCAATTTTTAGTTTTATCATAAAGATTGCGCCCCCCAGCGGTCGTTTTTTGAACTTGAAAATATTTTCTATCAATTTTTCTTGGCCGATTTAGTCCTCAATTCTTTTTCCTCGAAGTCCTGAGGTTTATGGTTTCCAAGATATCGTACCTCGCTGACCTTAGTGGGACACCTTGTATAGTGCAGAAACTACCAGTAAAAGTCTCCAAGGTCGATCGAATTCGAGACTTTGTTCTTCCTTTTCGACAATATTCAAAGCAACTGAGCACCTCGAAAAATGAAAGGCTTACATGGTTAGTTATTTTACCTACGGCCACTATAGAAAGTAGGCAAGAACACACGAGATACAGCCTCAGTAAGTAGCTCTCTACGCACAGTAAGCACATCGCACAGTTTTCGTTTATTCCGCCAGTATAGGTATGTCATGATCGCGTAATCGCCGTCAACAGCGGATGACATAACTGTCAAGAATTATAATTCAGACTGTTTGTCCAAACTTTTTTGATGTACTATATGGCAGTAGGTAATAGTTATTTATGTATCAAGGGCGTGAAGTAGGCTTTTATGGCCTGCAGCGTAAATAATGGCCCGATGGCGTTAGCCGAGTGCCATTACACGCCGAAGGCTATAAACGCATTTTACGCACGTGATACATACAAAATTTTATGCACTAGTGGCTTATTTCTCGAGTCACAATAAGTAATGACTAGATTTCCATAAACTACACAATTCATTTGTTACTAATAAATAATATTACATACATATTAAAATTACCGTAGGAATATCGCAATTATCGCAAGAGTAAAACTCTGTTCACTAACAGAGATTCATTGATCATTCTAGAACACGTGATTTTGACATGGTCTCTTGAGGGGCACACAAACTATCTGTTAGGTTACCTTTGATGAGCATTGCCCAGGCCGTCCCTCTGCCACATCCACAATATAATAACAGTTTCACCAAACAAAATAATGAAATTCTTTCTGGTTCCAACTCGGATTCCAAGAAAAACGATCCCACTAATTCTGGTTTTCTATGACAATGTTTGCCCCTCAGCATTCTGTCAAATGACGTAATTCTGGAATGATTAATTCCTTGAGATGTAGCAATATGTATACCCAGTATATAGCTACCTAAATTTGACGTTGTCAATCAATCTGATGGTTGCTGTCTAGCAATACATCCAAAAAACAAGCTGAAATTGTCATCTTTTGGCTAAAAACTTCAGACAGCCAGAAAGCAACTATTCAAAGAAGAACATTATAGCGAAGATGGAATCGGATGAACAATAACATGTATCATAATCATAACGATAGAATCAGCTGAGAGTTCAAATATAGGTATTCCACAAATGGATGTGTGGATATAAGGGACATGAGAACAGCGGGCAGTAAAGTGCACTTTATGGCCCGTGGGCGATAATGGGCCCGTGGGCAGTGAAGTGCCACTTTACGCCCGCAAATCTGGGCGATAAACTGCACTTTACCTCTTGCTAGTGCATAAAGTATTGTACCTAATGCGTGGTGTAAAGCAATTACGCACTCATGGAATTACTTTTCCTTTCGTGCGTAATATGCTTCTTACAATACATATTACGTAATATACTATTTTTATCGTGTTTACTTCAGAGCCTTCCATACTGAGGAATTTCAAAAAGTGCGATGACGTGCTGGATTTCGAGGGGTCCAGGAAAAGGGCGAAGTCCTTGTTCGTCGTGGCTCCTACGGCGCCGACGCAGAATTTCCAGCATTTCAGCGATAAAGTCCAAGAGTACAACGAAAAGCCGCCTTTCAATTTCACCGTGTCCCAAATTTTACCGGCCCACTATGAATATGTAAGTAGTTTTAGATTCTTCAAGAAGTGTCACTTTATTACAAAAACAAGTAGACTTTTTGAAGTTACTTTTTATTGCCTAGTCACAGTCGTCTTAGACCAATCAGCCGTGCTGAAGAGACTTGGCAACGGTGTCAGCAAGACCTAAATTTTCGTTGTTTCTTTTGTTGTTTAATTGGAATGCTGTTGAAAGCTAGTGAGCAGTGTAAGGGATATTGAAAGCAATGTAGTTAGGAGGGAAAGTGTTTGTTAATTGTTAAGTTGATCAGAAATAGTTTTTGGGTAGAGACGAAGGTTGAGGTTTTCTCTAGTTACACAGTTACATTTTAAAACATGTCCAATCATAGTAAGTGTGGTTCCTCAAAAGGTATCACCTTGCGGTTTTCATTAGTTTTCCTCGCGTTTTTCATGCTTTCATTCATTTATTCTCCGAATTCGTTTGTATAGCACTCAAAGTAAAGTCCTGTATCTCGTAACACGGTACATGGAAGTACGTTGAAACCGTACCTATAGACACAGACACTACAATGGCCAAAAGTCAACTAAAAACTTGAAGATCAAAAGTCTTCCAACTCTTCCCTTCTCTTCCACACCACAACACTAAACACTCCATTGTTTATTAGAAGAACCCACTTCAGTAAGATATTCGGAAAATAAATTTTGTTCAATTTTCGAAATGGAATTGATAGTTAATTTGAAGAGTTATGAAAATGTTTGTTAGACTATAGCATATTGCTGTCTTCAATATATTCATTCATTTATTTCAATAACACCATATATACCACGGATTGAAAGTGGAGTAAAAAATTAAAAGGTGCATCGGTATATAATTGCCTCTCTCTCGTCTGTGAAATTCATTGCTTGGTTCTCTGCATCTTTCTTTAGCCGTGATCACTGTTCTATTTGAAATTCAAACGTGTCAAATTAATTACTGTATAGTCAAATAAAAACAAAAAACTCAGTGTGTTTGCTCACTTATGGATTGGAGAACTGCGGTCACCAAAGTCTTTGAGGACCTACATAAATTCACACTAGATTTTCAAATCGATTGCATATAAATTGCAATATCACATTTACAATGCCTTTAGCATGGTGGCGAAATTTGTAGCCAACCATCAGCTGATTTCGTTGCGCCTTGCGTCTTACGACAGTCGGCTCTATAACAAACCATGGTGAGAAAAATGCAACACCGCATCGCCGTGATCCGAAAGTCATACGGTCGACTGTGGACCTCGGCGATATAGACAAACAATGGTACGTTATCTCTAACCGCGCTAACGTAACGTCAAATCCTGTCTTTGAAATAATTGAACAATAATGAAAAAATATCAAGAAATATTGGGTTAAGTCACGTGTCAGGTATTATTCTGTTCACGAATTGCGAGGCAAGATCTCACCTAGGTAAGAAAGAATCCAGTCCAAATCATTGATTCCCAACTTATTATCAACTTGGACCTGCATCTCATTCAACACTATAACTTGGCAATTTTTTTTCAACACATCTGACTGGGAACCTAATTGATGAAAATATCAATATCAATTTTCAATTTTTCTGCATATTCCTCCTCAACTAGCTGCTCGTTATTGAAAAAAAGGTCGGATTTTTGAATAGCTAACATTTCTGGCATCTTTCATCGGGATTCTTACTTAATGATCTAGTAGGTTTAAAAAGATAACTTGGTAAATTCGGAAGAATTGTGGAAACTGCTGTTTCAACTAAAACTAAGGGTAAGCACATTTTTTCGAATGGATCCATCTGGAAGAGAAAATGTATCATATCTAATAATATCTGTGAGAAGGGATCCAATTATTACGAGGTATTGCAGATATCCGCTTTTTTCGCAATTTTTCATCTTCAAGAAATGTAAAATTCGAAAAATATCTACTTCTTTTCAGAAGTGTAATTTGACTGACACCCTGTCACTCAACAATAATTCGGCATCTTCTTATAAGAATCGTTGAAATTACTAACTTTGCTTCCACAGCATAAAACAGGACCTCAATTCAAAAACTATTTTTGATGGACTTTCTTACACACACACAAACACCCTTTCACTTATAACTCGATCACACGAATATTCCTTACACTTTTCAATGGCTCTCAATAATATTTCACATTGATAACACATAAATTTATTCTTGGAAACTAATCAAATTCACTCCGTTGCAATCACAGGCCGTGTATCGTGTAGGTGCAAATGGCCGGCAGAGGCACTTTCGGACAGTGTAACCTAACCTGACCTCAATTTAAAAACTTTTTTTGATGGACTTTCACACACACATACATCCTTCCACTTATAGCACGATCACTAGAATATTTCTTGCACTTTTTAATGGCTCTCAACAATATTTCACATTGATAACACGTCAATTCACTCTTGGAAACTGAACAATTTCACTCCGTTGCAGTCACAGGCCGTGTATCGTCTAGGTGCAAATGGCCGGCAGAGGCACTTTCGGACAGTGTAACCTAACCTAACCTGACCTAAATTCAAAAACTATTTTTGATAGACATTCACACACACAAACACCTTTTCACTTACAACTCGATCACTAGAATATTCCTTACACTTTTCAATGGCTCTCAACAATATTTCGCATAGATAACCTATCAATTCACTCTTGGAAACTAAACAAACTCACTCCGTTGCAGTCACAGGCCGTGTATCGTGTATGTGCAAATGGCCGCAGAGGAACTTTCGGACAGTGTTGCCTATACTTCTCAGCACCGCTTTTTTCAGAGCCCGTTATGGCCTCACTTTTATGTTGTCGTCAATTCTTCTTTCTCTAGGCACTATCTAGGAGTTGAATATTATCAGATCATTGATGCTGATGCTATTAAATGCCAGTTTCTTTGTTTTTTCAGTATGTCACAATGTATGCCGCCTACCTTTTCGATTCCGTCAAGTTGTACGCTTCGGCGTTGCACCATCTCCTGCTCCAACAGCCGATACTAAACGATGCCGTCATCAGAGAAGTCGCCAAGAACGGTACGAAAATCATCGAGACCATCATCAAAATCAACAGGACGTACAAAAGTGAGTGGTCGCATTTGGAATTTCCACAGACGATCTCTGGCTTTATTCAAATTGTAGTTTAGTGAAATTCGTTTCGTTCAGGTATCTCGGGCGCCATGATGAAGCTGGACCAGAACGGGGATTCGGAGGGGAATTTTTCGGTGATCGCTTACACCGAGCCAGAGAACAAGAACGTCAGGTCGAATTTCACGTGTGATTATCAGATGAGGTCTGTCGGACAGTTCTATCAGACGGATAGCAATTCGTTTCCGGTGAGTCCATGCTTAAAAAGTGGAAATATAAAAATTTAAATGGTTTGATTACTTTCTATTGCAATGTCATGAACAATGAACTGAATATAAAAACCTGGAAGGGAGACTGCCGGTTTCTCGAATAGTACAGAGTGTGTCAGGGGCAGCTGCAACAAAGATAGCTTGTGTTACAGTAACCTGTCTCTTTCACACACGTGTTGTTTAATGGCGGATTGGTATATACATTTTCTTTTATCCAATGATTGGAGTACTTGAGATCCTTTTTTTTTCATCTAAACAGCAATTTGTTGGTGTGAATTGATTATTGTTGAAAATATTTGTGATTACGAATTAATGAACAATGGTTATTTATTCGTATTGCCTTTGGATGCAAAACAAGCAAGACAAACAGAAATTGTGCTCCATGGGTAAGTTGAAAATTGTTCAGACTCAAAAACTATAGTAATTTATTTTCAGGATTTGTCTGTGGATGTTTATAAGTTAGATTCTATGGACAATGTTTTTTATATGGACATTGATTTGTTTACTACTTCCAGCTCCCATTCAAGTCTCAAAGTTTATTGATAATGAAAGCCACAAACTGTTTCATTCGAGAAGGCCTATTCTATTGCAAAGAAAAGTGAAAACACTGAAACAAAATGTAAGAAGGAGACTGACAATCTTAATGAGGTACTAAAAAAACATTTTGAAGGTAAAAACTACAAGTTCAAATTTTCAAACTCAAGAGCTACATCATAATATTGTCTTTTCAGATTTGCCTTTGAAGCTTCTCCTTCTCCAGAAGAGAAAAAAATTGAGGTGTACATTCTGGACGACGCAGATATGCATCTCTAATGAAAAATATTCACTTTTTATTCACTTTTTATTCACCTTTCATTCACCTTCTAATAGTTAAATGTTTATGGAAAAATAGGCACTCTTGAAGAGTAGGCTTTAAATATTCCTTAGGTACTCAATACCATTCAAGAACCTCTTTTAAAATTTTTTCAATCGTTTTTCTATTTCTTCTGATAGTGCTGAGACATTGAGCTTCGATCACCCAGTACAATATATTGTGACATTTGAATCAGAATATATAATTTCAATTTTGTATTCATTTGCCTTTCTAATCCTGTAAGAATAAAAATGGAATTTCACTTTTGAGTCAATAAAAAAATCAATAATTATTTTCAAATAATAATTGATTGCAACATTATGCTTAGAAAATATTTCAAATAATGCGAGCATTTCCCATTAGCCAACATAAGATAGAAAGAGATAGTTAACCGTAACCACTGCGGGTTGCCAGAACAATATTTTTGCCTCACTCGTCGTTCACAAAGGATCCCTTCCAGGTGTTCATATTTAGTTCATTGGTCATGAATGAACTGAGGAAGACATTTTAAAACTCACTTGTTATTGTTTTCTTATAAACTATATTGTGATATATTATGACATAGATATTGGACGGTAGGCAATCTGGACACGAATAGACCCGATGAAAGCGCACCAGCGACGTATCACAAATGTTCATGAAGCGGTTGTTGAGTGAGGTTGATGATAAATGTAATTGATGTATACCGTATAAATAGTAGATTTATAATCAACAATTAATATTTTGGTACGCCCATATCAAGATAGAATTAACTTTTGCACACGACAATTGTTTCGCTAAACATCCGCTTCTCCACGGCGTATATCACCTACACTAAATTAATTACATGAAAAGCTTCATTTATATGAAATAAGAATAAAGCAGGAAATATAAAGTAATATAAAGCAAATAATGACCGGGCGATAGGGATACTGATTAACTATTGAGACGGGTGCAGAGATTAGGTTTATGAATTTAACAATGGGCTATTGTTTAAGTCTAACTGGACGTTCGGTACTGTATCTGACCGTTTGAATCTATTCACTTCTATTGAATTTGTACTGTATAAGTACCGGTTGGACGTATCAATACTTGATGACTTTTAGTCAAGTATTTTTGTTTTCATATCCTAACACAGTACCCGAAGGCTGTTATAGGTTTATCTCATGCCAAGGAATGTAATTATCGGGAAACAATTTCACGTAGCCGTGAATATCATCTAACAAGTAATTTTGATGTAAGATTAAGTAATCATTTTTTTTTCATTATCTTTCTACACTCATCGGAAAAAAATGGCCTGAAGGAAATTTTTTTCTACTACTGCTATGGAAAGTAGCGCATTTCTCATAGCTTACTTAGTTTCAAAACCATGAATTTCCTGATTTTGATAAAAAATCATAATCTCTGACCTCAAAAACCCCCAGATACCAATTTTGAATGGAATCTGACCATAACTACAAAACTCATTCGCCATATTGGATCCGCCATTATGTATTTCCTAATTTTTATGAAGAAATCATAATCTCCGACATCCGAAAACCCTCAGATACCAATTTTGAATGGAATCTGACCATAATTACAAACCTCGTTCGCCATATTGGATTCGCCATCTGAATTTCCAAAATTTGACGAAAGGATCTTAATCTCCGACCCCGAAAACCTCCAAATACCAATTTTGAATGAAATCGGATAACAATACTCGTCCGCCATATTGGATCCGCCAACTTGAATTTTCGATTTAAAAAATAGATTACCGATTCTCATACCTACCGAACACGCACAAAAAAATTCATACGAATCGGTCGAGCCGTTTCGGAGGAGTTCGACCACTAACACCGTGACCGGGACAGGAGAATTTTATATATCAGATATTGTGGTCGACCGACTTTGAGTTCGTTTTTTCTCCTGTTGAAAAATACTGGACCACTTTGAGAATGGATGGTTTCCATGACTTTTCTTATTGTCCTCCAGCAATACGACCTGAACTCCAACACCCAGATCCAGTGGCCCGGCAGCGGCCGGCCCAAGTCGGAGCCAAGCTGCGGCTTCGACAACGAGCTGTGCCCGAAGCCCAACACGCAGCTGAACAGCATCGTCGCAGCTGGCGTCTTGGCCATCATGCTCTTCTGCGTCGGCGTCATCACCATGAGCATATACAGGAAGTGGAAGATCGAGCAGGAGATCGAGGGGCTCTTGTGGAAGATCGATCGGGAGGATATTCATAATTATTTCGATAGAGATATCATTTCTAGTCCTAGTAAGGTGAGGTTTTATGCATTTTATTGATATAAAGTTACAAGAGTATGTTGCGCCTACGAATTTTGTTCGAATTTGTGGAGTGTATGACAAATTGAAACGAAATCTTATACATCAGTTTTCACGCCACTAACCTTGTATAATTGCTAGCAGCTTCTTTCACTCCAGCTATCGGCGCCGATATTCCGATTTCACTTTTCTTGGACGAGTACTAGGAAACATAGTACCCTAATCACCAATCGGAATGGTTGCCGAGCAATATCACATACACTAAGTGATAGGTTATTAATACTAATAGGTCTCTCTCTCAAACAGGTCTCTCCATATAGTGGTCGACGGAGTTTCATCTGACTCTCTTATCATAAATGCAGGTATTCCGCAAGGATCAATTCTAGCACCAACACTATTTCTACTCCATATCAATGATTTGTTGGAAGCAACTTCATGTCCAGTACACAGCTTCGAGGATGATATTACCCCCCCCCCCCATACCGCCTACTCTTCCAGGGCTCCAATACCAGCCAGGCAAATCAGAAACGAACGAGGGAGAAATGTTGACAACATAAATGTGGACTTAGCAAGAATTCTCGAATGGGGATCCAATAACTTGGTAGATTTCAATGTAAACAAAACACAAGCATGCCTTTTCTCTAGAAAAGCCGATCTCACTGTGCCCGACATAAGCTTGTCAGGAGTAACCATACCTTTGAAGACATCCATTTCGATGCTTGGTATTACTATCAGCAATAACCTTTTTATGGAAATCACGTGAGATCAATTGCTAGAAATGCATCCCAAATACTTGGTTTTCTGTTTCGGGCCAGGAGCTATTTCACTTCCAGTCAGCTGCTTATGATCTATACGGCACAGATCCGACCTGTCTCGGAATACTGTTCCCATATTTGGAGTGCAGCACCCAAACATACCCCGAAACTGTTGGATTCTGTCCAAAAAAGGGCAATTCGTCTCGTGGGTGATGCTTCGCTCACAAACTCAATCACTTCTCTGGGACACTGTAGAAAAGTTGGCGATCTGGCTCTATTTTATAGATATTTTCATGGACGATGCTCTTCTGAAATATCAACAATTGGTCCTTCCTTGGCTGTCCCCGCGGGATTAACCCGTCGAGTTGAGGCTTCGCACCCCTTCGTGATCACTTTGGAGACCTGCAGAACATCTCTTTCCAAAGACTCGTTCATCCAACGAACAGCGAGGATCTGGCACAAATTGCCGAGGGAGGTGTTCCCCGAGGCCTATAACCTCCAGAAATTTAAGAAGAACACCAATTCATACCTTATTTCCCTTGGTTCTCACGATGTTTTCTGATTATTACAGGATATCCCCTTTCGTGGGAACCAGAACATATAAAAAAAACAATAGATTAGTAGAATAAAATGGTTGGGTGGAAGAGCAAAATTTGTCCTAGGGCACCTTTTGAACCCTGCCAATTAACAGGCAGACAACATATAGTATATATAAGTATCGCTGTTCATAAACAAATAATATAACTTGAAATTCTCTGTATAATAATAATAATAATAATAATAATCGTCTTTATTTCTTTCTAATATAGGTAATTCACATTTTTACATGTTGTTTTTCAAGCTTATGAAAGAAAAGGGCGGAGTTCAATTTATGTCAAGATCAAATCTCTAGTAAATTGCTCTTCCACTCAACCCTGGTAGTACTGCACTGAGCGAGGAGTATAAAAAAATAAAAAAAAAAAATATGTTGCTAAGAATTTGATCGCAGAAACCTTCCAAGAATGAACTATCGGAATTGTAGAAGATAATTATATAAGTATATCTACTGTTGGGAAAAGATATATTCTTTAAGTTTTGATTTGAACTTTTCCAATGATTGCTTTTTCATGTCTGTGGGTAGAGAATTATAAATATTGCATATCTGATAAGAGAATGAACGTTTGAAAAATTCAGTTTTAAATTTTGGTGGTGTAAGGGTACCTCTGAACCTTATGTTCAAATTGTGCACGTCCGAACGAAAAGTTATTTTTCGATGTAAATAACATGGCTTTTTGCTCAGAACAATTTTATGAAACAGGCAAGCAGAATGAAGAAATCTTCTTTTCTCCATGTTCAACCACCCAGCCGGAATTAGTTTATTAGTGATCCTCTCGCGTTTTCGCACACCGTATATAAGTCTCAAACAAGAATTTTGTACTTTTTGTATTTTTGCACTGTATATCTGAGTAATATTTGGACCATAAAGAGAATCACAAAAGTTGAATATTGATAATACCATCGTCTCACACAATAATAATTTTATATTCGATGATAGAAAATGCCTTGCACCATACAAGGTTTTCAAAGACATGTAAGCTCTTTGAATGAGCTTATTCACATGTTTGTCGAATCTCAATTTAGAGTCTATTTCTATTCCAAGATTTCTTGTATGTTCTACTATAGCAAGTGTTTCATCATTCAAATTTATTGTGATATCATGTGGATTTAGGGAATTCCTTCCTGCAAAAATCATAACTTTTGACTTACTAGGATTGATGTATAGACAATGTTCCGATGCCTTCTGTATGAAATTGTGAAGGTCTTCATTGATGAAACTATTAGCATTTTCCACATCATTTACATTAAAACTGTAATAAATCTGTGTATCATCGGCGTAACAGTGAATAGAGCAATGTTTAAGTGATTTCAAAATTGTAGAAGTATATATAGAAAAAAGAAGTGGTCCTAATATGGAACCCTGCGGTACTCCAGATTTGAGAATCATACTTTCTGAATGAACATTTTCTATATGAACTTTTTGTTTGCGAGTATATAAATAATTTTTGAATAACTCTACTGCAGACATTGACATTCCAAGATAGTGCAGGATAGCTAACATTAATTCATGATTTATAGTGTCGAATGCACGACTGAAATCCAATAGAACTAAAACTGTATGCATACCTTGGTCCTTGGCTCTAATGATGTCATCCACAACATGGAGTAGAGCAGTGGTACAACTATAACCTTTTCGGAAGCCTGATTGAATTTCAGGTAGTAGAGAGTAATGCTCAATGTGATTTTTCAGTTGGGTTTCAATGGCTCTCTCTAACACTTTTGATAAGGTGGGCAGTATACTTATAGCTCGAAGATCTTTAAATTCCACTGGATCAGATTTTTTAGGCAAAACTTGTACCACTGCTATTTTCCAAATTTCAGGTATAACACTATTTGTTAAACAAAAATTAATTATATGTGTTATATAAGGAATGATATGAGGACAACAAAGTTTTATTATGTTTAAATTCAACTCATCAACTCCTTTAGCATTACTTTTTATATTGCATATAGTTTCATAAACAAATAAGTCATTCAACTCAGAGAAGTGAAATGAATCTTTTTTTTTTTTTTTTATCGCTTGGAGCGCACGAAAGGGAATCCCTATAATGTTCAAAGAACATCGTGCGTTCCTTGGGAGGATAGGGACAGGAGGTAGGTATTGGAATTTTTTTTGAACTTTTGGAGATTATATGTTGTTGGGAATACTTCCACAGGCAATGAATTCCAGAGCCTAGCCGTTCTATGGATGAAGGAGTCTTGATAAAGTGCTGTTCGACATCTTTCGAGGTTGACAACGAAAGGATGTGCTGACTGGGCTTGTCTAGTTCGTCTGATTGGTATTGCTAGTGAAGGGATGATAGCAGAGATTTCCGAAGAACATCTCCCGTGGAAGTATCGATAGAAAAGTGAAAGGTCGCCGACCTTTCTACGATGTTCCAATGATGTCAAAGAGTGAGTGAGTGTGGCGTCACCCACCAGGCGAATGGCTCTTCTCTGGATGGAATCTAAGAGCATCAGTGTATGTTTTGGTGCTGAACCCCATATGTGGGAACAGTATTCTAGAACAGGCCGTATCTGCGCTTTGTAGATCATGAGAAGCTGTTGAGGAGTAAAGTAGCTTTTCGCACGGAACAAGAATCCGAGTTTTTGTGAAGCAGCTTTTGCGATGGATCTGACATGATTGGATTTGGCAGTTGGTTTCATAAAAATTCAGTAATTCAAGTGGTGGATTCTTTTGTGGTACTGAGTTGATGAAAAATTCGTTTATTTCATCGACATTTTTCAAAAACTCAGGCAGTGAATAAGTTTTGTTAGGTATAATATTATTTGTTTTGAGTGCTTTCCAAAATGTCTTACGATCAGCTATTTCAAATTGATGAGTGAAATAAGCTTTTTTTTCATTTTTCACTGCCTTGTTTACATAATTTCTTAGGTCTTTATAATATTGAAAATCAATGTCCGATGTCGTCCTCTTATATTTTTTGAAAGCCTTGTCTCTGAGTATTATAATTTCTTTAATCGTTTCTGTTAACCACGGGCTTTTAGGTTTTGTTACTCTTGAAGTCACTATCGGAATATGTCTATCCACCAAATTCATCAAACAATTGACATGAAAGGACACTTTTTCGTCGACCGATTCTTGATCGTATATTCTAAAAAATGGGGTAGCATATAGATCTCGCAGAAAAATGTCTTGATCAAAATATTTGAAACTTCTATTAGTGCACATTTTGGGTGGATTCCTAATTTTTTTAATTTGGCTATTGCAATAAATAATTTGGTGATCAGACATACCATTGTTGTCTAAGATTCCGCATTTTGTTATATTCGAAAAACTCGTGATGATCACGTCTAACAAAGTGGCTGAGGTAGGCGTTATTCTAGTTGGACAGTCAACAATCTGTCTTAGCTCAAGACACTCCAAAATTGAATTGAATTTTTCAGTATTCGTATTATCTAAATCCAAAAGGTTGATATTGATATCACCCATACAAATTATGTCATCAACACAAGGCCAAATGTAACCTAAATTATCTTCTAATTCATCAAGGAATGCATATATCTCTTGTTGAGGAGATTTGTATAATACACCTATAGCGATCACTTTTTTTTCTAGTGTAAGCTTGATATAAAGTTGCTCGTGGTACATGGTTTCTAGTTGAATGATATCATATTTGTATTTCTTACTAATGTAGATACAAACTCCTCCACCTCGAGACGTCCTATCTTTTCTCAACAAATTAAAACCATCGATTTGTAATACGTTGTTCGGCACATCTTGCAACCAAGTTTCACACAGTAAAAATAAATCGAAATATTGGGTTGTTAAAAAATTTCGCAATTCATTCAAAGAAGGTATCAACGATCTTACATTTAAGCAGGCAATTCTCAAATTACACATGAAAAAGACAACTTTTTATGTTTTAGCAAGAAATAAATTAAAAGTAATTAGAGTACTTGTTTTCGTGGGTACGGATAAACTGCCCTCATGCGAAATATTAATATTGATATGAATGAGCAATGGGGAAAATAGCAACAATTAATAAAATAATTAAAAGAAAAAAAAAACTACAGGTACATACATATTGATAATGAGTTTTCAGTTTTCATAGTCTAGCCACATCTTCCATACATTTCACCTTGACTATTGGCTGCTCATCATCACTATATTTAACAAGAATGGTGCCAAAATTAGTCCAGACTTTGCCGCCTCTTCCAATTTTTTCAGTGGTGGCTTTTAGTATGCGCTGCTGGTCACTGGTGAGATCCTCTCGAATCACTAAACGTGTGCCCTTTAGTAACTTTTTCTTATAGAAAATCATATTTCTCTTCCAGATGCCGCTGAATACTACAATCATAGGACGATTTTTTTGACCACCAACTGATTTGCCAATTCTGAAACATCTCTCGATTTCAAACTCCTTAATATCAACCTCTAACTTCTCAGATATAACATTACGTACTATCTGGCTGCAGTTTTCATGATTTTGCTCTGGAATACCATGAAAGATCAGATTTCTGTGTCTGAGAGAGCGATCATAGTTCTCCTGTTTGTCAACTAGGCTTTCGATTACATTTTCCTGTTTCCGTAGTTTTTCCTGAAGTTTTTTATTTTCAGTTCTCAATGAGTCAATTTCTTCTGTGAAGGATTTTTTCACGGTTTCTAAGATACTAGCAGACAGCTGGCTAATAAATTCATCTGAGCAGCATAACTTTGACACTATTGTCTTTACAGCTACGTGCAGTTCTTCTTCACCCCGTTTGTTAGTTCTGCCAGTCATGGTTATGGGAATATGAAATTAAACTTACTGCGAATTATGTTGCAAGTTTCAACTTGAAATTGCTATTATTCACTATTGAATAACTGTTTCGACTCACTGGAGAAATTTGAAAATTATCTATGCACGTTTTCCCTATATAATACTAGTTTTCTTCGCTTCAGCAGTTTATACACGTCTACTCCATACGACTACAGAACAGTACTAATTCCTGCTCAATAAAATCGTTTTTTTGTTTGGCATATCTCTGTTGGCAGGTTATAAAATGTCACTTTTCATAAATTACTTCTTTCCCGTGGAAAAAAAGTGAGTACTTTTTACACTGTTGGTGGCTTTTGTTGAGCTATAGTTCCGAGAAAGAACTGCAAGTCCTTTTATCTTCCATTCGACTTCGCGGTTACGTATATTACTAAACAACCACTATATTCGCAATTTTTCGAAATCAAATCACAGAATTCGACTGACAGAAGTGACATCAGATATTTGATTACTCCAAAAGAATGCTGAAGATGCCTACAACGCAGGTTTCCCTACTGTTAAAAACTTGAAATTTCAAGTCGATAATTTTCAGATTTCAAAATAATGTAATATCTTCCCAATATTGATTCGTCCTTTCTTCTGTCACAGAAAAAAATAGTGTATTATACACGGGAAAAATATTAGGTTTTAGCTCACACAACCTGGAGCTAAAATCTAATACTTTTTTCCCTTGTATAATAAATAACTATTATTAACTTTCCTTGTGGCGATAATCGTGCATAATTCCGCGCATTTTTTTCAGATGAGCCTTGCCAGCGCCAGCGTGACGTCATACGAGTCGCGGGGTGGGCTGCAAGTATTCGCTACCACTGCTCAATACAGGGGTGTAGTGGTGCGCATCAAGGAGCTGTCGTTCTCGCGCAAGAAGGACATCTCGCGCGAGGTGATGAAAGAGATGCGGCTGCTGCGCGAGCTACGCCACGACAACGTCAACTCGTTCATCGGGGCGGTGGTCGAGCCCACCTCGCTGCTGCTGCTCACGGACTATTGTGCCAAAGGAAGTTTGTATGTGAGTGATGAATATTACTAGAGTGAGTAGATTAGGGTGGCGACAATCGACCTCGAAAATCTGTAGGGTACCTCCCCATGCAGTAATGAATTTGCGCCTTCGAAGTGCCCACCTCATATTTAGTTAGATATTTGATATATCCGTTTCATCATCTAAATAATCTGAGACTTGCGAGTTCTAAAAGACGGATTCAAATAGATATTAGAGAGTTGAAGTATTGACTGTAGGTAGACCTCCACGTAGACGTACACGTACGAAAAATAACGTCTACGTATTGTCTTTAAATTGAGTTGAAGTCGTCACTTTGGTCGTCTCTGTCATTGTAACGTTATAAAACATTTTGTTTTTGGTTTGTATTGGTTGTTTGTTTGGATCTGAACATGTAATCCTGTTAAAATGTGAGGACTCCTTGATGCAGAACTCCATGGGGATCCCGAAAATAAATTTTTGGCTCATTGGTATATTTTGAGTATGTTAACGTACCTTGATATTTAAGGTATACGTGAAAGTACGTGAGATAACGTACACCCGTGAGACCACCAACGCGAGCGAGAAGAATTGAAAAATACGCATGCGTAGCTGTCAACTTCTACGTTTATGTTAACGTTCATGACAACACTCCAACTCTCTAATATCCAAGGTACCGACGTAACGTGTTCAATGTCTGATTGCTTTGTGTCCAAAGAGTGAGAAACGAAGACAAAGTGACATAGAATGCATAGAACTGCCTGAAAAAATGAAGCAGGCGGATGCATCTCCATATTTGAGGTCTGCCAATCAAAAAGTGTATCACTATTGTCGCCACTCTATTTACCGGGTGTCAACGAATCTATTTGACAAGCCATGACTTCTAGAATATTCGGTGTATCAAAATGAATTTTGATATGGGTTAATGGTATGTGCAGAGGAAAGTTTTCGCATATTTTTCACTTTCTGGTCGCTTCCGGTTTCACCAAAAATGGCTCCGGATCTCTAGAAAAGCCAATCTCACTGTGCCCAACATAAGCATATCACGAGTAACCATACCTCTGAAGACATTCATTTCGATGCTTGGTATTACTATCAGCAATAACCTTTCTTGGGAAAATCACGTGAAATCAATTGCTAAAAGTGCATCCCAAAAACTTGGTTTTCTGTTTCGGGCCAGGAGCTATTTCACTTCCAGTCAGCTGCTTATGATCCATAAGGCACAGATCCGACCTGTCCTGGAATACTGTTCCCAAATTTGGAGTGCAGCACCCAAACATACCCTGAAACTGTTGGATTCTGTCCAAAAAAGCGCAATTCGTCTCGTGGGTGATGCCTCGCTCACAAACTCACTCATTTCTCTGGAACACCGTAAAAAAGTTGGCGATCTGGCTCTATTTTATAGATATTTTCATGGACCATGCTTTTCTGAAATATCACCAATTATTCCTTCCTTGGCAGTCCCCGCGAGATTAACCTGTACAAGCTTCGCACCCCTTCGTGGTCACTTTGGAGACCTGCAGAACATTTCTTTCCAAACACTCGTTCATCCAACGAACAGCGAGGCTCTGGAACACATTGCCAAGGGAGGTGTTCCCCGAGGCATATAACCTCCAGAAATTCAAGAACACCAATTCCTACCTTATTTTCCTTGGTTCTCGCACGATGTTCCCTGAACATTACAGGATATCCTTGTTCGTGGGAATCAGAACATAAAAAAATGGAACACCCTGTATACAGAATTATGAGAAGATATTCAGAACAGAGTGGTATTCTGTTAGACTATTTCACGTTCACGAATTCAGAACAGAGTGGTATTCTGTTAGACTATTTCACGTTCACGAATTCAGAACAGAGTGGTATTCTGTTAGACTATTTCACGTTCACGATGCATAAAAATCATTTATTACAAATGAGTGATTCATTCTGACAAGTACAGCGATAATTATTTTATGCCAAACTGACATACTTTGTTTCGCTATCCATGGTTACATCGTTAAAAACATCAACGCTGAAATACGAATCAGAATTGAACGACAGCTAATATTTTCACGAGCAATAAGCTCACGTTGTCTCTGGCTGGTGATTGGTCAGATTATGTGATGAATGAGATAGTCCTTTCAATTAGTAGAGTGACTGGGAAGTGTTTACCTCTAGGGAGGGGGGGGGGCACCTGCTCCACCATGCCCCTCTGGCGGCGCCCTTGCAGAGTGTATTTGGGTATAATATGTATGTGGGCCGTATGGGCTGGTAGACCTCTCGATCACTGCGACCTAGCAGATCTATGGTGATCACCCTTATCTAATTTTAGTCCTACAACCCTAGACTTCTGATAAAGCCTATGATTTTTCCGGCGGTTTAATTTTCTATTCCAGCAGGAGTCAGATAGACCTGTTTTATTAGGTAACCTTGTCGCTTGTCATTGAACTGAATTTGCTCCCCAGTAGGAGGAATTTTCAGTCTCTTTCCATTTCTTGTGCTCCGCCATTAAGTGACAATTTCATGTCCCCCAGAAAGGCTCAGGACTAAAGAATGCAGACAGATTCTACACCTTTTTGCTAGGCGATCTCTGCCTCATTCCCTTCTGTATTCTGTATTTTTGTGATAGTAACCCATTCTATTTCTTCCAGGATATTATAGAAAACGAAGATATCAAACTGGATAAAATGTTCATAGCTTCACTAGTCCATGATCTAATCAAAGTAAGTTTGCTACAACAGAACAAAAAAACAACCGCTTTTCGCATAGCCTACGAACTATTGATGTTTCCTTAGGGTATGTTGTATCTGCACAACTCGATGTTGATCTGCCACGGAAATTTGAAATCTTCGAACTGTGTCGTCACCAGCCGTTGGGTGCTGCAAGTTACGGATTTCGGTTTGCCCGAGATGCGACACTGTGCGGAGAACGAAAGTATAGGAGAACATCAGTATTACAGAAGTGAGTACGTAAAGCCGTATCCATACCATGATAGTTACATTCCGAGGTACAGAAGACGTTTTTCTGAGCTGAGCTGTATTAAGATGCTTCAACTCCGAGGGGAATAAGGAAGCGAGCCGACAAATGTCTTCTGTACCTTGGAATATGCAGGGTGTTTCCGATTGTAATCGGGGATATTTGATAGGCGAACTCATTTTCGAGATGAAAGGTGTCGCAGTTTTTTTATTCACAGCTCAAAAACTTCGCAGGTGGAGATGTATTTTTGGCGTCACTAGATTCAGTTAGGCCCTCCGCACACGGGTCGATCGGTGACATGGGCGACGCGATTGCAATGACGTCACAATTTCTGCATTCGTACGATTCAAGAGACGGGAGTGTGTGTCATCCGCATATGGGTCGACGTTTTGTGTAGTCGACTCGCGTCTGATCAACTTAGTTACTCTATTTTTTGCAACTTCAAAAAGAAATGTTTCGCTAAAAATGAGCAGTTCCAATGGCGAGGAGGACATATTCATGTTTTTGTGGCACCGGCAGATCAGGAGAAGAAGAAGACAACGAAGTTTATGGGTGCATCCGTACATTGCACGAAATTTTCACACTCGACTTTTTGTTACTGCAAGTTAAATGCAAGAGAGTGACACAACATTTCTGGCATTTTATAGAATGTCGAAGGAATCATATATTGATTTAGTGGAAACTCTTTTTCCAGCCATAAATTATATGGATTCAAATATCAGGGAATGTGTCAGCGCAGAAGAACACATACTAATAACATTGATGTAAGATTCATATATTTCAAAAAATCAAACAGTTCCTAAAGTTGAGAGTATAAATTGGAAACATAAGATTATATGTTCTAGTTACTAAAAATAAAGAACTAAGGTAGGTAACACAAATATTCACAATGATTGAAAAATTATTGAACAACTTTCTCCATTGAGACGCAAGATTCACTCGATCAAACTGCTTCCTTGCTAATCGCGTGAGACTGAAAACGAGGAGATCTTAAATCGTACGTTTCTAGACGACCACTAAACGACCCGTGTGCGGGATCCAGATGCTTTGCTTAGGAAGTCGAGTAGAGGGGAGACCGCCGTACGATTCGAATCGCGTCGCCCATGTCGCCGATCGACCCGTGTGCGGAGGGCCTTATTTGCTCAGTCGAAGATTGTATCTATGCCTTATTTTCAGGTTTGTTCTGGAAGGCGCCCGAGATCCTGCGGAACCCCTGCGAGTACGTGAAAGGCACCCAGAAGGGCGACGTGTACAGCTTCGCCATCATCCTGTTCGAGATGATCGGCAGAAGGGGGCCGTTCGGCATGACAGGGTACGAACCGAGAGGTACTTACTGCTTACCGGCAATCTGCCCGGGCGCATTCGAGTGCGACGCACCGCGATTCGGTCGACGGAAGACGTTCTAGCCTCACATCGAATAACAAAATCAAATCAAAAATACTTTTCATGCCGGCGGATGATATTTTGACTAAATTCAAGCGGAAGCTATCATCTCTCGACTCAGAAAGACTTGTGAATTCTTTCTTTCCGCTCATATACATACAATGGCCTATCAGAATCCTACCTAAGTGTTCCCTCGCCAATTTTCATAACGCGTATTATCGCCCAAATCAGGACTTGCAGCAACAAGTCCTTGATGTTCTCATTTCATGGTTCCGTTTACATTATTGACCCTACAGAAGTTTGCTCAATTTGCAATCTACAAGTAACTGAATTCATTATAAATGAATGAATTTTAAGCTATTAGGGATTGTTTTTGGTACTCTTTCGGGTGTTAGGCGTTTGGTAGGTATAAATAAACTTATACACTCACATGCAAAAAAAAACGCAGCAAGTTAATATTTGGTAAAATTTGAAGTCTCATAGTTTTTTTATTTTTACTTCAATTTCCAAAATTTTTTCAGCAAACTGTGGATAAAATCATTAATTCCAACTGGCACATGCTCATTAGTCATTATACAGGGTTTACTAGAAGTATGTTGATATACCCTACTTATAAAACATCCTGTGGAATAATTTCGTGGTCAAATTCTTTCAAAATACCAATTTTTGTTAAGAACCGATCCTTTTCAACATTTTGTTTTTTGGTTCAAGTCTTTAGGTGCACTAGTTGATTTTTAAGAAGGAAATGAACTTATCATCAACGTTTACTTTGAAAAATGTAATTTTTTGAAGAAGGTGGCTTTGCTCGTTGTTGTCCTAATGTCAGTTTGACAGTGAGAGACCTTAAGGAACTCGAACCATGGTTTTAAGTGCGGAAAATTGCGCAAAAGCTGTCGCTCTTGTTGAAGATGGACGTAATTATGAATATGTTGCAATGATACTTCATGTTCATCGCTCAACCATCAAAAGAGTAATCGAACGTTTTAGACAAACTGGCAGAAATAATCGTAGGGCAGGTACTGGCAGAAAACGAAAAACGACTGCTATTGATGACAGATTACTTCATGTAAATACTCGGCGGGATCGTCATTTAACATCAGTGCAGTCTAGAAATCAACTTCCAGAGGTTCGAGGTACAAATGTTAGTGTGTGGACAGTTCGCCGAAGATTGAAGGAGTTTGGTTTGAAAGCTTGCAGACCAGCAACGGGACCCAAATTACTTCTGCGTCACCGAGTAGCTATACTGGAATTTGCTACTGAACATTTACATTGGAACTTAGGGCAATGAAACAATGTTCTTTTCACTGACGAATTCAGATTCTGCTTACATTCTCCAGATGGACGGAAAAGAGTATGGAGAAGGAACGGAGAAAGATATGCAGAATGCACGTTCAGTCCCCATCTGAGTTATGGAGGAGGTTCAGTAATGGTTTGGGCAGGAATATCCAGGGAGGCCTGCACTGAGTTGGTGGTCATCGATGGATCTTTAACGGCTCACCGATATATTGAAGAGATATTAAGCAATTACGTTGTAGCTTTTAGTGGATTTATCGGCCATGACTTTATCCTGATGCAGGATGATGCGCGGCCACATACAGCAATTTGTGTCACACAATACCTCGCGGAAGTAGGTATTAACAAACTGAACTGGCCAGCATGTTCGCCTGATCTCAACCCCATAGAGCATGTGTGGGACATGCTTGGTAGGCGAGTCAGAGATCGTGAAGTAGCTCCGGCTACCATAAATGAACTTCGTTTAGCCATTCAGGAGGAATGGCAAAATATTCCACAAGATGCTATTCGAAACCTAATTGACAGTATGAACCAACGTATGCAGGCAGTTGTGAGAGCCAGAGGTGGTAATACAAAATATTAAGCTGATTTTGTTGTAAAAAGTACGTTTCCTCATCAGGTTATTTAAGTTACAGTTGAACTGGTTTGTTTTGAAGTTTGATTTTTAATTTGAATTGAATGAATTTGCATAAATAAATTTTGTATTAATTGTTTATTATTATAACTAAACAATATATTGCTGCCATTTCATTGTAACACTCATGAACTGAGCTGTCATACTGACATTATGGCACAATGAGCAAATCCATGTCGTCAAAAAATAACATTTCTTAAAATTAGGTAAACTCTGTTGTTTGGAGTTCATTTCCCTCTTAAAAATCAACTAAAGCAACTAAAGACTTGAACCAAAAAACAAAATGTTGAAAAGGATCGGTTCTTAACAAAAATTGGTATTTTGAAAGAATTTGACCACGAAATTATTCCACAGGATGGTTTAAAATTAGGGTATATCAACATACTTCTAGTTAACCCTGTATAATGACTAATGAGCCAGCATTTAACAATATACTGAATGTGCCAGTTGAAATTAATGATTTTATCCACAGTTTGCTGAAAAAATTTTGGGAATTGAAGTAAAAATAAAAAAACTATGAGACTTCAAATTTTACCAAATATTTACTTGTTGCGTTTTTTTTGCATGTGAGTGTATATTATGTAGGTATGTACATATCGGAATTTGTATAAGTATGAAACAATGCTTTTTTTTTGTTTTTTTTTCTTGCTTAATTTTTTTTCTCTTCACTTTATTCATTTCACTCAGATCAGTCACTGTTACTGCATAATCATGATCGCATATAATTCGAACCCTTGTGATGAGAATGTATTTTTCTAAACACAATAAACGAATCTATCTACGAATCTTTTGTACGCCGGCGGGAGTAGAAGTTAGTTTCTCTGGTAACAAAGAGAGGCAGAAGTCTCGTATTATTCCCTAGGGAGATAATGTGACATATATTCTCCCTAAGGAGTTTATACCAACTTTACATTTTCGCATAGCTCTGCGCTATCTTTTCGGAACACCCTTCTCTGAAGCGAGTATAAGCTGCAGCATACAGATTTCTAGATCTCACTGGTAGCAAGTTGAGAATCACTGCTGAAGCAGTATCAATAGTTTCTTGGGGTTTTCCCTCGATTTCTTGTTCTTTAACCGTTAGCCAATTTCAAAGCTGTTTTCATAAATTTCAGTTTGATATTTGCTGTCACCATGGGTTGTCAACAAGATGCATGTTGTCAAGATACGAATTCCACATACTATACCATTACTAATTATGACAAAACACTTAGATCAAATTTTTATTCATTCTTAATTTTTGTGTTTTCGCCAGCGTAATGCATTTCTGTCCCTTGATGTATAATGTACTATTATTGTCTGAAGAATGATAATTCCTATTGACAAAGTGAAAAACAGAATAATAAAAACAACATCAATAACAATTTGAATGTATGCATGTTTTTCATACATACCTCGATCGTTACATATTCAAAAATATATTAAAATTTACCATGTCGTTCATAACACAAAATCTGTAGAGCATGTTTATTACGCATCAAACTTATTCATATAAGTAAAAATCTATAAATATATACAAAAAACAAATACATGAAATAAATTTCAAACAATAGTAATGTTGAAAAGGAATATTATCAGATATAATTAAGTATGAACATAAAAAAATGTATAAAGAAATACATTGAGAATTCGCATTCTCTATGTGATATAAATATCAATTCTTTCTCGGTTTATTCAACAGAAAACAACTACTTTCCTGGCTATATGCCACGACGGACATTGAATTACATCATTTCAATATTCTTATGTTATAAAGGTTGTTCTATTTTTTCGTCATAAGTGATTTATGCCGAGTTGAATGAGGTATTTTATCAAAAAAATTCTCTTGAATCATCGATTGGAACCGCTGTTTCATAGAGGTCCTTAGAATGTGATTTCTTTCCGCAGAAGAAATAAGCTATATGAATCAATCTTTTCAACTAGTTATCTTTATGGGACGGTAAAAAGTATCTAATTGTCTATTGATAAGTATTCGGCCGAATGAATACAAAAAAAAATCTTATCCAATGAAAATGTAGTTATATGGAAACTTCTCCCAACCAACGATCAAAGAGCTAGAATGTCTTCCGCATCTGCCGAAACCACTGTCATAACTACTATCTAGACCGTTATAATTATGTCATATCCCAGCAACCCGAAAATCTCGCCCGAATTGCTCTCCTGAAAACGTTTCTGCTCAATACGCAGGAACATTAAAACTGTCTTTCATAACTTCAAATCATCTTTCTTGATGTTCAGAAACAGCTCAAGAACGTCTCGAGAAAATGTATTCGCAAAAAAAGCAAAATTCTCGCACTCTTTTCAGTTTTTTGTACGTAACTCGAAAACTTTATATCTTAACGAAAAAAACACTGAAGAAAGTTGAAGTAGATGAAATATATACAGTGATTGGTTCACCGACGTATATCTGGAAGAAAGTGGAAGGCAATGTATTCTTTTGAACATATTCTGCCATATATATCATTATACAATTTTGAAAATATCAACGCGTATAAATTCGAAGTTGGATATAACAGTGAATTGTTTTTCAAATTCTAAGGAGCCAAAACATTTTTGAAGTGATAACTTCTACAGGCTCGTTATGCACTTTCTGGGCTGGGTGTAAACCGGCAAACTCGCGTCACGGTCAGAGAAATCTTACAAAATTTTAATAAGTACTTAATCTCAATATTATCATTATACAATTCTGTTTTGGAAGAATAGTGAAATGTGCTGCGTTAGGCTGTATCAATCAGTTGGATGGCAAATTTGAATTTGTCAGCTTTCCAACAAATGCAAATGAACTTGGAACATAGAAAGTGAAGAGACCGCATTGGGAAAATCTGTAAATATATCAGCAAAATATGCGAGTTGAAACTAATAGGATATCACATATTACACCTACTTTCTCATAGTTCTTAATTATCCCCTCCACAGGTTTTTGAATGTATTTCAGTAGAAACAGCCCTACCAGAATATATGCTATGTCATATGTTTTTCATGATTAACTTGTATCATATCATAGGACCTTTGGTTTGTAAGGATTAAGGCTGATGATGGACACATGACTGTTCCTAACATCTAAATCTCATAACTAAGAGATCTAGGATGAACAGAGTTGCCCCAATTGTCAGCAGGAGCGAGACAGTACTGTTTCGACCCACCAGGTCTCATCAGCCGCTCTCGGTCTGCTGACAACTGGGACAACTCTACGCTTCGGGTATGGCACTGGGACGAAATAGCGCAGGACAAAATAGCGCAGGACGAAATAGCGCGGACAATGGAATGATACAATACAATTCACTACCAAATAACTTGAAGCTGATTAATAGGATTGAAAAATTTAAAAGAGAATTCAAGAAACATCTACTCCTGTAATATTGACATCTTATCTCATTTTTATAGTTTTCTTGTACAACTACTATAGTTTTCAATTGTGTACCTAACAGCTGAGTCAATTGAGGATCATATTCATTTGAACTTGAAAAAAAAAGATTCTTTTTGACTGTGAGTCTTATTTCACTGTCTTCTTTATTTTATTTTGTCAAATATATTTATGTATTCACTATGTTCCCTGCTATAAACAAATGTTGTTTCTTGGGAATAATAAAGTTGATTGATTGATTGATTATAAAAATGAAAACTGGAAATATATAATTGAAATATATAATTTCGTCTCTGCGCTATTTCGTCCCTGCGCTATTTTGTCCTGCGCTCTTTTGTCCGCGCTATTTTGTCCTGCGCTATTTCGCCCCAGTGCCTTCGGGTATATCACCCATTTCGAAGACGCAGGGTATAATATGAAGTTGTAGTGATGTTGTAGCCATCTTGTGGCAAATCTCTGAGGTAGGATACAGAGATATCGCGACATACACTGTATGGCGCTGCAATCTATAGTCACACGTACAGACCCCTACGTCTATACGCTATAGAGTGGTACTACAAGTAAGTCACTCTGCTGACAGATGGCACTGCCTGACAAATGCCATTCAAGTATGTCAGGTAGTGCGTGTTCTTAACATGTTCCCCTAAATAATCTTTCGATTATTGAACGTTGTGGAGATGATTTTGTATTTTCTAACCCTCTCATCACTACACTCCACTTAGAGAAAAGCATGGACTTCTACATAAGATATATATAACTGGTTCACAAACACTTTATAGAGTGAGAGGAGACGATGAGGATCTCTCCGTACCCAGTTAAGATGACAAATACGTCAGTTTGCGTCAAGGGCCCTACAAAAACCCTGCTAGGTGGCGAACGCTCATTTTCTATTCTCTACCGCGAAAAGCTTCTTTCTCATGACACAACTAGCGGTCTAGACAGTAGTTCACGCCAGTGGCGTCACCGCGGCGCGTCGCGACCGGATGCCGCCCGGGCCGTCTCACGAGCCGCCCGCCTTTCAGACATCGTCGAGCTGGTGAAGCGGCCGCCCGCGCCCGACGAGGAGCCCTTCCGCCCCGACGTCGAGCTGCTGCTGGACTCGGAGATCGGCTGCGAGGACTACGTGCTGCAGTGCATGCGCGACTGCTGGGCGGACCGACCGGAGGCGCGGCCGGATTTTCCGGTGATCCGGACCAGGTTGAAGAGGATGAAGGACGGAAAGTGAGTATGTAGCCGGGTGGCGTATAGCCATTCTCCTGTACCGGGTGACACAATTTTTGAGTTTGTTGATTCCTAATGATTCAAAATGATTGAGTTTCATTCCTTTATTTTCTACATGTAGAATTTCTAAATTATCATCAAAACTATGGTTTTCTTCTAATATATGGTTGGCGTATGTTGAATTTGTTTTCTTTTTTAAAAAATTCATCTTATGTTCATGAATGCGCTGATTAAACGTACGACCTGTCTGACCGATATATACCTTAGGACAAGATTCACAGTTGAGTTTGTATACCCCTGATTTTTCGAATTTCCGAAAATGGAGATTTATCGATCCTGTCCACAAGTAATTAATCCTCCAAGTTGGGAAAGTAGGATATATAAAATTCCAGCAAGCCAACGTTAGTTTAGTTCATTGTACCAGTACATCACCTGACGAAGCTACTGTGTTAGCGAAACATGTTCTGTGTATGTGTATAAGAATTTTGTGGAAATCTTATCATTTGTGAAGTTTTTACATTTGCCATGGATTTTCATCAAGTAACGGCCGAGCCAATTCAAAAAATTAACAGATAGGTTATAGTCTAATTCTCAGATATATGGGATCTTGTCGAAGACATGAATTATGAGTTCGTAGAAAAAGTATAGGATGTAACGCATTCATAAACACTCGTTGATTAAACACTCGCTCCGCTCTTCTGCACTCATGTTATATACTTGTTACTAAAATGACGTTCACAGTAATCTGCGGGGGTAAGAACTTCGAATATTTTTGTAACATAGTGGTACCTAGTAAGGTATTTTCCCTTTTTATTTTATCGGAAACATGCTAAGAACCTTGATATCAATTATACCCCCAGTCATTAATCTATGCTGAAACCATAACTACACATCATTGTCAATGCATCCCAGGCAACCAGATGACGAATGATCACGTCACTGTGACGTCCCTAATTGGTGATTTTGCGTCAGAGACGTCACACACCAATTTATGACGTCACTATGAAGTACTTTCAATGTGAAAAAATATCACAGACAAAGGTTAGGTTTATCACAGATGTTACTCTTTGCTAAAGTTTTCGCAGGCAACAGAAATAAAATTCGATCAAATGGAAATGAACATTTTCAGTAATAAAAGATTTGCAATAGTTTTTTCCCTCATCGAAAAGTACCCATATTGCACCATCTAAGTAGTGGCTGGACTCTACCTATGAAAAGATGTGTCCTTTTTCAGTTTCTGAAGAATCATTTTTTGAAGTATGCAGCAGTACACCATATCACAGATGGATTTTTCTTGTCAGCTGTATTGAGACAAATATAAGTTTACTATCTTAAAAAACGCCATGAAATACCCATCCGCACTGAATTTCAAAACATACATTATCTTGATAGGTGTCATTCGAGTGTCATAATATGACGTTCTATCCTGGATCTCCATTAGTAATGATGTGAATATTTTTTATCCTTCACACAGTAGTAAACGTAGAAACATGCCATTTTTCGTCACAGAGTCTACTTCTTCGTTTACTACTAGCGCTTCGAATTACCATAGGGTATTTTTTTTAAATATCATCAATCAGGCTCAGTGACTATAATATATTCAAGTTGAGAATAAAGTAGAGCCAGTTTCACACTAGTGAACCCGCTAAATACAAATAACTAAGTATTTAATTTCTGTAGCCGATATCGAGAGTATATTTTGCAGAATCAAACAACTACTTTTTGAGTTGGTCATAGTATATCTTGGTATTTGTGCCTAGTTGGTCGGTAACCAATGACTAGATGCCAACATTGATGGTCAACTACCTCTGCTTTTAATTTTTTTTGACAGTCGACCGGTAATGTACCACTCCCATTGCAATATCGCTAGTTTAAACTCACCTAGCGTCTAAACCAATGGAATGCAACCACTACCTATCTCTCTATATGCTTTATTCTTAACTGGAATGTACTGCAAGAATAAAATAGAAGTTGATGAAATACTATTGTGAATATGAAACTGCGTCTACTCGACATTAATTTTGTGGAGACGGCTTCGGGTTTGTATTTTTGGAGGGTTAATTTTTTTCATTATTTAATTCTTCAATCACACAAAAGGTGCTATATTATTCCTCATACTTTTTCAGGAACAAAAATATTATGGACCAAATGATGGACATGATGGTTACTTATGCTAACCATCTAGAAGAACTAGTAAATGAGAGAACAAGGCTGCTTTATGAAGAAAAAATGAAAACCGAAGATTTGTTACACAGGATGTTACCTAAGTAAGTGGCATTTCTGATTTATAATTGGTGCATGTCCAGTTCACAATGCTCTATCCAACTTCAGTGAAATGATAACTATTTCTGTAGTCCTTCCGTTCATTCGGCGATAGATCTAGCGACTTTTGTCTTTTTGTGCTATGCACTTTTGACTTTTGTCTTTGCTCAAAACTATTCTGTAGATTTACTTCCAAAACAGAAAAATTCCAACTTGTCTCGGGGTACATTCCCGGACTGAAGAAGACGAACCGAAGTCGAAACAAGCCACAAACTTAACAGGTTTTCGAACCAAAGAATACTTTTGCTTCTTTGGATTCTCAGACTTGCTTTTTTGAACAAAAGGGTTAAACGCGCCACAAAATTCGTGGAGATTTGCGAAATCCCAAAAGTTCTTTTGCTTTTGTCAAATGAATCCGAAGCAGTAAACTGGGATTCGGGTTTCACCTTAACCCAACGATATTTTAGGGTGCAATGTGTGAGCTTTCGACCTTCCGGGTCTCATCAGTTAGGCGAAGAAGCCTAAGAGCTAATTTGATTATTGATCTAACTCTCATTGATAGTTTCACTCTTCTAACTCGGCTAACCAACATATTTCATAAATCGGTCCTTATAATGCAAGATATTTTTTTACAGGCCCGTAGCAGAAAAGTTAACGAGAGGATTGGGCGTCGAGCCGGAATCCTTCGATTTAGTGACGATTTATTTCAGCGACATTGTAGGTTTTACTGCGATGTCTGCCGAAAGCACCCCCCTCCAAGTAGTCAACTTTCTCAATGATCTCTACACAGTATTCGATGGCATTATAAAAGGCTACGACGTCTACAAAGTGGAAACCATCGGAGATGCGTACATGGTGGTGAGTGTAAATATAAAGGTATCTCAGTTATCATTTTAATATTCGACTGTTTGTCAGATGAACAGCAAGAAGCGGATAGTTTCTTTTATTCATCTGCATATTGGGATCTCGTAGGGTGATGGAGTTACACTCGAATCAGAGAAAAAAATGTGTCTTATTCTGAATATCTGTCTATGTTGCATGTTCTTTCACAAAAAAATCTTCCATTGCTTTGACATTGACAGATTCGCATTTGTGTTATTTGATAGCGAAATTGTTCACATGAAACATTTTGTCTTGTCGAATATAATTCGACCCAATATTTTGACAGCAAAATTTTAATTGCATCAAGCATTGCTGTCTTCTTATTATGCTTTGCAGCAATGCTTTCAAATATAGCGTACTCAACATTTTAAGTCGGCAAAATACTAGGTTTTAATATCCTAGGAAAAGAATATACTGCATCCAAAATACGAATTCAGGAGTGATTTACGTAGGCCACACATTTAAGTTTTCACAACTTGCAGTTGAATTTAATACTTATACATTGATATGCTGTTATAATCGATCATTTCCAATCTACCTAAAATATTTTCCGTCCTCCAGCTATACTGGGTGCTCTAAAATCGGCACCAGCTTCTTCATTTTGAATAGCAACCTTCATTTTTCTCACAATTCGATTGGCCTTCAAATTCTGAACTTAGACAATCTCATTTATTTTTGTCAACTAATCTATCTCATTTTTCGAGATATATTGATTTTTCTAAAAATAATTTCTGCCGTAGTAGTTACAAGAACATGTGTATCTCACAAAATATTCAAAATAAGAGCTCCAAACTTGTGGAACAGTTAGCAGGAAGTCCAGGCTCACTCCTGATTTCTCATCTATGGTCCCATTTTGTACCAGATGGGTGCAAGCGATTTTCAAATGTCGCATTGAAAAATTGTCGAAAACTCAACTTCTTGAAATGGTACCTACTATTTTTTTGACACTATATAAAAGAAAATCAAATTGATAATGGTATAATTGGTAATGATTCAGTTTACTTGTTCATAGGTATCAGGTTTACCAATCCGGAACGGAGACAAACACGCTGGAGAAATAGCTTCTATGGCCTTGGATCTGTTGGCTGCAGTGAAAAATCATACAATAGCTCACCGTCCCAACGAAACTCTCAAATTGCGCATAGGAATCCATACAGGTGAGACTGACATCGCTGTTTAATACATTTTTGCCAAGTCCAAGTTGAAATTGATATCAAACTAAAATTCGAGGTCCATTATTTGACATTCGTAAATGAAATCTGGCATTGCGCCAACATTTTTCCGGAAGCCAGATTTCACCGAACCTTACTGATAGCTGCGTTTTTCATTGAGGTTATGTTCTAGTTGTTATCTATTCTGTTTATTTATTTATTCATGGTCTAGTAGTCTAGTAGATATGCACTGTTTTCGTTGTATTTCTCAATTCATCTGTTGATTGTGATTATTATAGATAATATGAATCATTCATTTTGTTTTATGTTTCTCACCCAGAATATTAAGCATTCTTTTCTCGATTTCTTTTCAGTTCGGGCTTGTCCGGATGTTCAATTGCGAACAGAAAAACTGACCATAACTATATTAATACGTCTTCGTTTCTTCTTCTCCTTTTTCTCCTGGTTTTTCTATTCGGAGGCTTCACTATCGTTAGTCAGGAGCTTATTCTAGCTACATTTACTCCACATTGTTTTATCTCCCCAAGAGTTATTTTTCGGCATCTTTTGAGAATGTTAATGATGTAATATAATTGTTGTGATGATCATTCTAGTTAGTAGACATAATTATATAACCGAGTAGTTTATGACTTAGTCTTAATGTTCAACAGAACAGCGAAGACGAATACCTTAGTCAATCTCGGCAAATATGCTACACTCTTTCAGGCGGAACTCTTGGCAATTAAATTGTGTGCAAGAGACATACATTGTATGGAACTGTATTGAATTCCTAGAGGGCCTTGGTGCTAACAACAGAGTTACTTTGCTGTAGGTACCTGGATACCAAGGGGTGGAGGGCAACAAGAATGCCGACATCCTCGCCAAACGGATAACTGAATCTACGTCTGTAGACCAGAACTATACTTTGGAGTCACCACAGGTGCAACCAAAATAACTATTTTGGATTAGACGGAGGGAAAAAGACTCTCGTACTGGATTAATGACCAGGATTGACTCATTTGAAAGCGTTTTTGCCTGAACCATTGAAAAATATAACCAGGAATTCCTAGATTGGATCAAGAATAAACTACGAATTTCGACAGGACTGCTTACGGGACACTGTCGTCTAATATACCACCTAGGAAGGATGGGTCTGAACACATATTAGGGTCATGATCTTGCTTGGAGAGGCTAAGGTTCAACATATTTGGTTTCAATTTCGCCTACCGATTTCAGGAAAATCCCTCCTCATTCATCTATCAATTTTGTGAAAAGAAGTGGATTGTACAGTGAACTGTAACCTCTAGAGATGAGCCAGAGATCCATCTGGGGTTGCGTTTTTTTGACGAGGTGATTGAAATCCTTTGACCATCATGACCATCATATGGGTCTAATCCCCCATGATTGTGTGGGAGTCCCTTGACACTAGCCAGTGTATACCCACTCAACACTCCACCCCGTCTGTAGGCTCGTCTGAACGATGTCTTCGACGACACCCAGATCTAGTGGTCCATTGTTACTTGCCTAGTAGTAGTATTGTACCCACTCCATTGATTTCTGTACCTTGTGTCTGTACAAATCCTTCACTGGATGTGATTATACTTCTGGTTCGCCGACTGTTTGCCCGCCCAAAAATCATCTGTCTTGCGGTCCAGTGCATCGCATCTACACAGTATATGTGATACTAAGTGCGTTTTATTGGCAAGATTCTTCCACCGGAATGACAATTCATGTCGTTTTATTGAACGAAATTCTGAAACTGGTTCCAACTTTTTATTCCTTCTTCTCATACGGAATGACAGGAGGACGATTGTGGAGGGAGAGTATGAAATGGCGGAAAAAGCGGTATTTCAGATACTCTAACCTCAAAATCTTTATAGTGTGGCTTAGGTATCAAGGTGAGCACGAGCCCAGTGAGAGTGTTCCTGGGCCAACTCAGGCCCACCCTTATACTTACGTGCGTCTGCTATGATTCCTAATGTTTGTTATAAAGATATTTTTCAGAGCGGCTTGATTAATACGATAAAGAATGTTGAGCGGTTACCTACATTAAGTATACAATTGCATTGAAACTTTTAAAAGCAAATAGCTTGAAAAGTATTAACTCTAGACATTTCTAACAAGTACACCTTTATTGTTGAGGAAGAACGACAGATCCAGATTTTTCAATCAGTAACTGCATACAGAGTGTCACAAAAAAAGTCGTCGCAGATTATTTGCTTAACTATTGGTGTACGTGGCGCCCTCTAGAAGTCTGATCAAAACTAAAGGCGGATTCCTATTTCTCATATTCAAGAACCGCCATATACCGAATTCGATGCCAATACCTGAAAAACTGCTCAAGCATTGAGGAAAAATAGAAAATAAAATTATAACTTAGACACCCTGTATCTTTTTACCTGTCGATATTTCCACTGAGGTATGTTTGGTCCAATTGTATTATTTTTGGCTCTGGTACCTCCAGTTTCGAGATTTCCCAACCTTTCAAGGACACCCTGTATACACAAATTTATCATAAGCAATGAGCCACAATTCATAACGGAACATTTTGAGACAATTGCATTTTTATTACTAATAAGGAATATTACTAATACTCAATGGAGAATTTATGAATTATTGAATAGTCAATATTTCTGAAGTTCTCAATCGTATTTCAACACATGGCAACTGTGCTATGGTCTGCCCCTACTAACGAAATCGTAACATCAGTTTTTACGGGCGGTAAATTTCTATTGATGTAAAAATCGACCTAAAAATTCTTAAAAAATATGAAATTGAAAGGTATTTGAGTGATGATTCTAAAAATAGTCCACTCGCTTATTGTATTTTCTGTTTTCAGGACCTGTTGTGGCCGGCGTTGTGGGTCTCACGATGCCGCGTTACTGTCTCTTCGGAGACACCGTCAACACCGCATCGCGCATGGAGAGTAACGGAGAACCGCTGAAAATCCACATAAGCGGCCAATGCAAAGACGCGTTGGACAAAGTGGGCGGGTACATCGTCGAGGAGAGGGGAGTGGTCAGTCTCAAAGGCAAAGGTAAAAACACTCTGTCGGACATTTCAGAACACGCGACTAAGGCTAGGCTCGGTAAATAGAATAAAATATACATTGTTTCGTGACTCAAATTTTTCGGGATACAAAATTGTGTGAAATAGCTTTGCTGAGTTTCATTTTAGTAGTGCACTTTATAGCTGTGAATGTTAAAAATGGAAAGCTAAAGTGAGTCATTGGTTTTCTGAAAACTTGAGTCCTATGTGGTTTTGTATGATTTGAGCTCTGGACCATCCATAGATGAACCATAAATGCTTGGGTTTTGAACAAAAAACACCAGTGCGAAGATGGCAAGTCATTAGGTACATGAAAACCAAAATAGAATTGAGGAGATAAAATGTGTATATACTCATGAAAGAACATAGGATTAATTCAAAGTGAATTTGATGAACCGAACTACCTATTGCTAGTTATCCTAAATAAATAAAAACTATCAAGCACCTCCAGCAATACGACTACAACTTATTCTTCAGAAAGTCTCCTAAGTGCAACATATTCGAAATCCTTTTCCTCTATATCTTCTAAAATAGAAGCAGAAATGAATAGCAAGTGATTAGACATAATGAAATGGCAATACTTGAATAGCTCCAGTGATATGGTAGGAGCAGTGGTGAAACCAGTTTGAAACTAATATGGATTGAAAAAACTAGTGTAAATTGCGTTTTGGATCCGTATGAGACATGTTTGTTGGCCACCGCCACTTCTAAATTTGTTGTGTCTACTATTCAGTGATTTCATCCTATAACAATGTGTAATATCAATCATTGCAACACTAAAATGAGTTTCGTAATCACTAGTGCGGTAAGGTAAACAAAACATTTCATCCAACTTGAAAAACACACGTCAAAGATGACATTTCGCGATATGCGTATGACAATACCGAGGCCACAATATTGCATTTTTCTAATATCATCAATATCAGGGCATGTCAGGGGTAGTATCTATCTTTGAGTGAATAATCAGCATTATTAGGCCCATCTCATATTATAATATCTACACCCACCGGCAACAAAAACTGACCACCAAAAAACTTAGGTAAATTGTTCGCCCTGTAACTTGTTTAATTCTTGTCTGATTTTGTTGAAATTTCGACCAAATCGTATATTCATGTTCCGGAATGTTGACCTAAATATAAGGTCCTGAGAAAAGCTGATGACTTGATCATTATACACGGAAAAACAAAAGTTACTCTTTCACCCTCAACTTCTTTACGCCCTTTGGCAAAGGTGAGTGGTTCAACTTAGCTTAATTATGTTTTGGACTGAAGTATGATCCCTTTTTGACACAATGGTTTTTGATTCACTTCAATATCTTCTTTTTAAGAGAAGATACAAGTGTTTTAGGAAAGTATGAAATATTTCAATTCTTATTAACATTAATTCAGAACCTATAGAGCATCTTGGGGATGAACTCCAGAGGCTCATTCGCCTTCACCCGGCCTTGTCAGAGACTCTTCAAGAGCTACGATTCGCCTTTCAAGGAGAATTTTAGGCAATTCTTCAAGACTAATGTAAAAACTTCACAAACGATAAGATTTCCACAAAATTCTCAAACACACGACATGTTTCGCTAACACAGTAGCTTCGTCAGGTGATATACTGGTACAAGACTACTTGAGGCATTTGATCAACTCGATGCTAAGGCGGTTGAAAGCTGTAATTTCAACTCGAGGGCATACTCGTTATTGACTACATGTCTGCTTTTTGTTTGTTTTTTGTAATTAAGTTTTTTCCGGAGAGTGCTAAGAAAATGAGGTAGAAATAAGTGATATCAATTCTTTGAGTTGTTGATCAATAAGTTTATGTAGGTTTTTTATTGTTAATAAAAATTGAAAAATTCTATACTTTCTTAAAACACTCGTATCTTCTGTTGAAAATAAGATATTGACGTGAATCAAAAACTATTGTGTTAAGAAAGGGATCACACTGCAATCCAAAGCATAATGAAGCGAAGTTCAACCACTCGATTTCGCCTCAGGGCGTTAAAAAGTAAATTGTGAAATAGTCACTTCGGTTTTTCCTGTATAAAGATCAAGTCAACAACTTTCCACGGAAACTAATATCCAGGCTAACACTCTGGAACATGAAGTTACGATTTGATCGAAATTGCATAAAAATCGGACGAGGATTAAAAAAGTTACAGGGAGAACAATTTTATCGAATTTTTGGATGACCGTTTTTTTGCCGGTGAGTGTATAATATCCATGATGGAATTGGATGACAGTTCACATTCAAAATATAAATGTTTTATCGAAGGTAACGTAATGACTTATTGGCTGACCGGAGCCACGGAACAGGCCATCCAAAAGCGGGAGGTCGACTTAGCGATGTTGCCGCAGCTGTTCTCTTTCCCCGGCAGGAGCCCCAAACTGACGTCTGAGTCGCGGCAGCCGTCGTTCTGCGGGGGCTACGGGGGAGTGTTCAGCAGGAGGCATTCCAGCGTGCCCAGAGGTGAGTTAAGAATTGTGTGCACGGGTCGTTTCCAGTTGAGTTCCATTTTATTTATTTTCCACCACTAGCTATAGAACCTACAATTATGTACTCCTTTCAAGGTGTGAAGTATTTTTTCCCTTCCATTTTATGAATCACTATATGTAGACTTTGTCACCTCTGTTATAATTAACCCGAATTCACTGTACTGATGCGAGATTCGCAGGACTGGCACTCGAATCGAGTATGTGCCTATTTATCAGTTGCTTATGATCTATAAGGCACAGATCCGATCTGTCTTGGAATACTGTTCCCATATTTGGTTGCAGCACTCAAACATACCCTGAAGCTGTTGAATTCTGTCCAAAAAAGGGCAATTCGTCTCGTGGGCGATGCCTCGCTCACAAACTCACTCACTTATCTGGAACACCGTAGAAAAGTTGGCGATCTGGCTCTATTCTATAGATATTTTCATGGACGATGCTCTTCTGAAATATCAACAATTGTTCCTCCCTTAGCAGTCCCGCGAGATTAACCCGTCGAGTTGAGGCTCCGCACCCCTTCGTGGCCACTTTAGAGACCTGCAGAACATCTCTTTCCAAAGACTCGTTCATCCAACGAACAGCGAGGCTCTGGAACACATTGCCAAGGGAGGTCTTCCCCGAGGCATATAACCTCCAGAAATTCAAGAAGAACACCAATTCCTACCTTATTTCCCTTGGTTCTCACGATGTTCTCTGAACATTTACGAAAAAAATTTATAACGACTTGTTATCTATGCTGTCATGCTCATGGCTCGTAGCCACACTTTTTCTGAAAAATTCTGGGAAAACAGGTCTAATTCTTCAACATTTTTTGTGAAATTTTTGCATTGTCAGATATCTCACGGTCACGATACTGATGATTTTGATTGTTGGCACTCATTGACCATATATTTTATCTGAGAAGGATACGACAATTTGTGTTCTTGTTTTGACAGAAACTTATGTCAGATTCAAAGTGTCCCTACGTTTATGTTCTTTGTCAGATGTATCGTCGTTTGTCAATATCCACATGATTTATTTACGGAAAACTCTTAAGCACAATTTATAAACTTCGCAATGGAAGTAGCAGTTGACGCTGCTGTTGCAGTTGGAGGTGGAAAAATAGTTGTCAATTGTGGAATCAAAATACGAGCACAGTTCCATTTTTCAATAAAATGATGACTATTGAAACCACATCAGAACCGATATTAGAACAGTCGGTCACTCGCCACAGAACTATATGTATATGTCGCCGAATTGTTTTTTGATTGGTCGAACGTTGGTGAAAAAACGCAGCAGTAATTGGTCATCTTCGGGAGCAACCTTAGCGACAACTGCGTAGTTTATAAATGGTTGTACGTTGTCAGTATACATTTTAACCTCCCACGGTAACAGCAGTGTTAACTGTTGCTACCGTTAAGCATTACCCTCTATTCTTTGCATGTGTGCACTCTCTGGTAATATTATTATGCACTAGTTATAATCTAGAAACCAGATTTATTATCCCAAGGAGACATCCAAACACGATTATGTATTGCCGGATTTTGGTTCACTGAAAGTTACTAGTAACGAGTCTTAAACAATGATTGAACACCACGTGACAGATTACTATGCAACCAAGCAGAATACATTCGTATCTCTTTAACGTGGATGGAAAAGAGACGCCGCATCAAAAATGATCACGTGGTGTTTAATCATTGTTGAAAACCCGGTATAATCGAATGAGATGTGTTGTTGCCTGATTTCTGGTTTTGGACAATTCATGTGCACAAATGAATGTTTTATAGAGTGCAATAATGTTTTGATTGATTATACATATTTAGTTCTTATCATTTTGTAGTTGACTTGCTTTCAATGGCTTTGTACTTTTATTTTGGTGGTGGTTGATGCATTTGTTTTTAATTTCGTCACAATTTTTGTGCAGTGGGGTTACTGAGATTTCTGAATATTAGGACCTTTGTATTCATTTTTTGATCATAGAAATCCGCTATATTTCGAATCATCTTAAACGCGAAATTCAATCACCTACTGTGCGAAGAAACATTCGATAAATATCCGTTGGTAACTCGGCAACTGAGCTCTACCTACGAGATACAACGTATCATCTGTAAGAAGGAAATATTATCCTGCTAAAGCAACTGTGGGAATATATTCCCATATTAAGAGAGCAGTAAACCAAACCATGAATTATGAATTCTTACAGCCAGACAATTTCTGTTATTTCCAGATGTACTTCGACATCTGGCAACTCTGTATTTCACTCACTGAGTCGTGACTTCAGTAGTTATGGTTATGAGTGGAAATTTCGACTATTTGAATATGAGATTGTGACTTCATTTGTGACTTTTAGACCTTGAAACCATTCAGAAAATTTTTGAAAAATAAAATTGAAACAACATATAATTTGCTTCAAGAAGATTTGTGGTTATGTTTGATTGTTACTGCTTATTTGTCGAGTGCCCTTACCCTTTCACGGTGGATGGAACATTATTATTAACCATATCTGGAGAACCGAACGACACATCATTCCGAAATTTTGCGTGCGAGGATGATCAAGTATACTCTATTGGCCTAAAATATCATCGATATAGTGTTGCCGCTTATATCAGAAAGTAGTAGCTACTTTGTTACATAGAATAGAACACCCTGTATTTAATCGTATTTTCATATTCTCCCTGGCGCTGATTTCATCAATGCATTGAGGTCTTGCAGGAATTATTGCAGAGATATAGGGGGTTCAAAATGGAGATTTTTCGATTTTAGGATTTTTTTGTGTTGAAACTATTCATTATTGGTCCAAACGGCTCACATGTCCCTAACTCTACTTTTGATCAACTATCTACTGGAACAGAAATAGGGTGTTTCAAGATTTTGAATTCTGATCACCCTGTATCTGTTCCAATTGAATGTCATTAGATAGTGAATCAAAAAATAAGATAGGGACATTAGAGCCGTTTTGCCTTTTCAATACTTCCACCCAATCAAGAGGTTCAAACTTGAACGATGGAAACTTGTTATTTTTATAGACCTCAATGGCAGATTCGTGATTAGGTTTTCTCAATTCAGAATTTCTTTCCATGTCCTGTATGATGAATATCAATTTATCATTCATCGAAAAAAAAATCTAATTAGTCGGACTGTTTATTGATCATGGCTACACTGTATTCTTATTGTGAACAAACTGATGTTGCTGGTCCTCGCGGGTTTTACAAGAACTCTCGCGTTACAAATTTAGTGATAACTATTCAGGACCTAAGGTGAGAACTTTAACGCCTCTTACTAACTCAACGAAACGATTTTGGATATAGGTAAGTTCAACTTATATCTAAAATCAACTTATTTTTATCTCAGGAGTCTACAGTCAAGCCATGTCCCAACCAGATTTTTTTTAATGCATAAGATGCCTCAGATCAGATATTATTTATTTGCAAATGAACCTCGAGACTTGTCAAAAATTCACACGATAGAAAACATTTTTCTGAATGGAATATTTTTTTGGAGAAAAATGAAAGTTTCCAGTCTGACCTCTGAAAAGTTATCACCAAATTGGTACGGCAACATGGTTGTTTGAAATATTTGCAGGTCACTGATGATGATCAAAACCATCTCAAAACGTGACTTACAGTCACAAAACATGCCATGCCAAAAATTATGAAAATCGATCTCAGCCTACTCTTTTTATAAGCAAAATTATGTTTTTCCAAAAAAACTTCAACGCCTTGTATCAACTCAACGAGACGATTTTGGAAATAGGTGAGTTGGCCTAAATCAACTCGCTGTTATCCCAGGCGAGTCCACAGCCAAGCCATGTCCCAACCTTTTACAGACACCCTGTATATATATATCCATTTTTTATGTTCATAATTATATCTGAGAATATTCCTTTTCAATTATTTTATGGAAATTCATCTGAAGGAAACTTCCCCATTGTCGCAAACTGAAATCCAGTAACCCCAATGCCCCCCTCAACAAATAACCTCGCGCACCGCCTCAACCGTCCGCTCCACCAACCAGGTACGAGTATCGAAGTCGAAAGCACGTCGACCCTACAAAACGCGAGCCCGGTGCTGCCCAACCGGCTCAAGGCGCTCCGGCACAACTTGCTCGTTCCAGACCAGCAGGCCGGTTCCAAACTCACCATCAACACGGTGTTCGGCAGCCAGCCGATGGACCAGCAGCAGCAGCAGGAAGAAGGTGGCAGGAAAGCGGTGCGGCAGAAGCGAGTGCTGTCGAGCATTGCGTCGAGCTGCGACGAGCAGCAGCAGCAGCAGCGGTGCAGCCAGGGGGTGTTGGAAGAGCGAGGGAAAGTGTCCAAGTCGTTGGACCCGTTGCCTTTCATGAGAGGTGAGAGATTTGTTCGAGTATTCGCCGTTCACAACCAAACTTTCTACACTACACTACACTACACTGTTTTACCACTAACCAAGCCGATTTTTTAAACGCCTCAAAACGTGAGTAAATGAGCTACAAAAATATCAAAAATGGTCCCCTTCAAGGTCATCGATCTCTGACAAGTGAGTACGGCGATTCTGGTGCTGCAGACCTCGTTGAAAGCAAACGCTCTCAAATCAGATTGCTTCAAGGGCCCTAAAAGAAATGCATCTGCTTGAATTTTACGAAAATTAATTTTTGAAGGGCTTCAAGGGCCATATAGTAAATATTATGCCAACTATAGATTGTTGTATATCAAATGAAAGGTCTCTGCTTGAATTTTACGAAAATTGATGTTTGAAGTGCTTCAACTGTCATATAGTATCGAATATCCCACCTATAGATTGTTTTATTTGTGACAAAAATCCATATCAGGAGGCAAACGTTCGAGATTATCTTTGATACCATACTATATATCACAAATGGGCATAAATCCAATAGTCGTTCAAACAGACGGAAGTCACGCGGCTACAGTCTTGCCACATATGCAAGGCGAATCGAAAAATCATGAAACATTAATAATCGTAGAGTATGAGTTGAATCTGCACAATCTAGTGCATCTATGAAAGATATCCCAAGGTGCATAACCTTGGTTCAAAGAACACATAGCAAATTTGAAATATGGTAGGTTAGATAAATCGTGTCTAGCCGAACATATGTTCAATCACAATCATATCACACATATTACTAACCTCAAATTAGTTAAGCAAGTTAATAATATTAGAAAAATGGACGCATATGAAAGCTTAGAGATATTTGAGAGTAATAATAGAGTAATGAATAAGGATAATGGAACTATTCCATATAGCCCTCTATATAGTTTAGAAATATAAAAATTGAGATTAACATGTGAACTCAACCATGACAAACATCAACTTGACGGTTAGTATTTTTCACGGTTAGGTAAACATATACCTATTATTTAAGTAGCACTCTAGAATAGGATATTTTGCCAAAAACCAAACGTGTCACGATTCAAACTGATCTAAGTTAGTGACAGATCGTCAATATTTCCGATTATATTTTGCCCCATCGAGCTGCGACGAGCAGCAGCAGCAGCGGAGCAGCCAGGGAATGTTGGAGGAGAGGGGGAAGGTGTCCAAGTCGTTGGACCCGTTGCCTTTCATGAGAGGTGATCAATTCAACTTCTGGGGCCTGATTCTCGAATCCTTTGGAATTCGTTCTCATGGGAAAAACTCGATATTTCCCATGGAAATTTGAGATGATGTATTCTTGAACTATTGTATGGGAAACTATTTCTACATATTTCAAAAGAACTGCTTCCCATGGTAATATCCATGGGAACAACATGTTTTCTATAGGATACACTCATGAAATACGAAGTTATTCTCATTTGTGATGGGAACTGAACCCTAGTGAAAAATTGAGGAAACATATGTATTGCACAACATGGCAAACATAGATGAAACAGATCATCTAGAGGCTTTCCAAAATTTGGAAGTGGCTGAAATCCTTGCTAGAAGACCAAGAAGAAAGTTTTTGCCCAGAAGGGGCCCATTTGAGTGTTTGTCTGCTGCACAATTTATTAAAGTTTTTCGTTTGTCCAAAGACATTACTAGACGATTAATAGGTACTTTAGAATCCTTAATATCATTCCTCAGACTTAGAGGCTATCCGACACGGGACTTTTGACTTCGACATAAATCTCACGCTCTAGTAACGCCAAGTGGTGAGACTGAACATCTTTTTCTATCGGAGGTTCCATGTACTACTAAGTGCATGTTTCTCAGTTAACAATTAAGCAACAGACGTGATCGAGAGCTTCCTGGACAACTGCGACAAGGGAGTCGACATCCAGATCATCGCCATACCCGACGACAAGCTCACCAACAGCTATTTTCCCTTTTTTTTCAAATTTGTTTCGTTCTTGTTAATATGATGTTCGCATCAACTGCTTGTTGCTACCTGTGAAAGCTTTAGCTGCTTGGCGTTCACTCTGTTACTCCAGGTAATCTCGTGTGCTGTTCTGTATCCTTCGTGAAGAATTTGGTAGTATTGAAGGCTTGACTAGAATAAATCCGGCTCGAAGGACCATAATAATGTTCGATGCTTGAGAAATAGTGGACTGTATTTGTATGGTTATGATATATGGTAATGAAATGAAGAAAAAATATTAAAATGCCATTTTAGAAACAAATGATAATCTCTCTTACTATATAGAGTAATACAAGTAGCAAACTATTGAGTAGGGTGATACAAGTACTAAATGTCCGTTTGTTTCAGGTAACAAAGCGACAGACCTGATCGAGCGCTTCCTGCGCGGCCAGCGCCGGTCGACCCGCTCGCTGGACAACTGCGACAAGGTCGGCGACATCCAGATAATCGCCATACCCGACGACAAGCTCGCCAACAACAATTTCCCCAATGGCAACGCGCTGCCCTCAGAAGGCGGCGGTTGTCTGGAGGACGTACAGGTGCCGCTGCTGAACCCGACCTTCAACGAGCCGGTTATCGTGAGGAGGAGGGGGGGAAGCGCGGTGGACGACGTGCCCGATTATTTTCCCAAGAGGTATGTGGCCCTTTCACGATAAACGATCATGCTTACTTGAATTTGGGTCTCAGAGTGACTAGTTGAGAAGAGTGATTTATTTTGCTTGGATCGGCTGCAAAATCGATAATTCAAGTGGATTTTTCGAATAAAACATCTCGGCATAAAAAATAGAACAATCTTAATAATCAATAATACATCCATGACAATAACATGGGCGAGTGAACTGATAATAAATGATTGGCATTCAATTAAACCACTGTGTCGTTAGGAACCTAAATTTATAAAAAATACTGAATGATACACGAAGTCATCTCCACGACATTTAATGTGATTAACACATAAAAAATTGGTTGGTACATGTTTCGGACATATATATGTCCATCATCAGCCTTATAAGAAATTACATAATTATTGTCCTAAAATTAAAATTGTTATTAGCACAATCGGCTCATCACCGCTGGGTGGAAAGTCACTATACCATGTTGTCTCGTGCCACATGTCTTTTTTCACACATGGCAAACATCACGGGTTCCTCCTATAATGTTTTATTCAACGACAGGACTCTGACATATTTTTGAGAACTTGATTATAATTGGCGACTTGACAACCTTGCTTCATAAGTGGAAATGAAAGATTATCTGACCAATAACGAAACTACATAAAAACTGACGTCACAATTTATTCGACGTATCGCCAAATGGCGGCCATGACGGTTCGTTTGAAATTAGCTCTGAAATTCAACAATTTCGAACAACGCATAGACTCATTATTTAGATGAAGGCGAGAGAAAAATTAATTTAGGTTTCTAACGATACAGTTGCCGATCTGGCTCTATTTTATAGATATTTTCATTATTATTCATTAACTAATCCAGTTGAGGCTTCGCACCCCTTCGTGGTCACTTTGGAGACCTGCAGAACAGCTCTTTCCAAAGACTCGTACATTCATCGAACAGCGAGGCTCTGGAACACATTCCCAAGGGAGGTGTTCCCCGAGGCATATCACCTCCAGAAATTTAAGAAAAACACCAATTCCTACCTTATTCCCTCGGTTCTCACGATGTTCTCTGAACATTACATAATATCCCTTCTCGTGGGAACCAGAACATAAAAAAAATGGAGTTTATTGAATAATAATTCATAATCAGTCCACTCGTCCATTGTCTAAGACATGTTGAAACCCCATGAAAATCATAGCTAGAAAGTTATCAAAGAAACGTTGCAAAAACTCTGTCACTACCGGCTAGTTTATAATACTCCGTCACGAGGCAACCCCATGTGCCCCGCAGTCTCATACTCCACCTACTTTTCTCATAGATGGCGTTCTTTGGAGGCCGTATCGGCGTCCTGCGCCCAGCTGTCGGACGTGCCGAGCAAAAAGTCCATACCGGGCAGGATGACGTTCAAAAGTTGGCTGGTCGGCCTGTTCAGCGGGACCAGCCTGAAGGCCAGCGAGGCGTCCTTGAAAAAAGGCGTGCTCAACGAGTACAGCAATCTGCAGCCGGAGAAGGAAAGCATAGTCTAAGAGTGGGAGGATGTTAGTCTACGAAGATGTACAAGTACAAAGCTTTATTTTATGATCTTTTTTCAAAAAATGATACATAGTTTCTACCCACCAATTTCCAGAATACGACCTCTGATACAGAGATGGGTAGCAAGTATACCTAATTGTCAGAAAAAAACTGTTCCAAAACAATTGAGGATATTTTTGAACGCAAACGGCAAAGATATTATTAGCTATTGAAAATTACATCATATCAAGAGGCAATATCTATAACTCACGCGAACGATAAAGATATCTTCCTACAACTGTAAAAACACTTTTCTTAATATATTTTGTGTGCCATATTTTCCTAAAACACTTGTATCTTCTCTTAAAAAGAAAATATTGACATGAATCAAAATAAGGAATCACACTTCAGTACAAAGCATGATGAAGCAGAAGTTTGGAGAATGGTTCTGAATTATTGTTGATGAATATTGAAAAAATCAAGAACCATTGTGTTAAGAATGGATCACACTTCAATTCAAAACCTGATTAAGCTAAGTTTAACCAACCCCCGTTGCCACAAAGCGTTAAGAGGTTATGGGCGAGAGAGTAACTTTTGTTTTTCCCTGTATACCAATAGAGCCGAACAAGTTTTAGGGCGATCAATTTGGCTACATTTTTTCTGGCCGTTTTTTTGCCGGTGCATTTTCTAAAAAAAAAAATTTGCATAGCAAAAACACGATATCCCTTACTTTTTTCTATCAGTCTCTTCATCACTTCTGGTTCAATCAGAAGCAACCTCAACTTTTGATTTTCAAATAGGATGATTATCAGATATTTTGATCAGAAAAAGTTGCTAGTGTAAGTAAAACGATCTCCTGAGTCGAAAAATATACAGGGTGCCCTTTTCAAAAATCAAAAGTTGAGGTTACTTCCGGTTCAACCGAAAGTGACATAACTTTTTTTTTCTATAAATGAACAATTTGGTATACTTGCTACCACCAAATTTCAGAATCCGATCTCGAAAGATTGAGAAAGGTACAGCACAGGCCATTTTTGTGCACTTCTCTGTATATGCCGAGGTAGACAATAATACTATTGTTGTTAAGGTGCCACTGCAATAATTATTGTTGTTGGTTCTAGTGAGGTTTATGCACTGGCCCACTGCATCTTCTGTCATTCCGATCAAACTGCTGATAAGGTGAATATTGGTTCCTGTTCATTCCTGATAGTCGGACGCAATTTTTTTTTATTTTGAAAAATAATCTATCTGCTGTATGACCAACAGATTACTGATGAAAAAACATGGTATCTGATAGTACCAGGTGACGTGTAACTCTTTTGTTTTTGACATTCGAAGAAAAATAAATTAAAGACCCACAGGAAATTTATTTTCCTTCTCTAACAACAAGATACATTTTATTCACTATCTGATAAGATATACGGGGACCAGCAAAAAGTGTATGAGTTTTTATCAGACCAACCTATATATTTTCTCACCATTGAAAAGACCTTTCAAAGAGCTTTCCAAAAATACCGCCTTCAATATTTTTATTTTCTGTATTTCTCAATTTATGGGCATTCAAAACTGACAGTTTGATCGATTTTTTAATGATTGTGGAAAAAAAGACATGGCAATGATTGCAAATCCAGGTATATTAGCTATATCGCTACCTATGACATTCAATTCTCATTGGCGGTGATCACTGGAAATTAATATTGAAATCATTGACATGGCCTACTTTCGAGAATCATTCCAAATTAATCAAACTTTGTTAGTTTTGGAAGCCCATATTTTGATAAATGCACAAAATAAATATATTGGGTGCGGGATTTTTGGAAAGCTCTTCGAAAAGAATTTCCAATGGTGAGGAGATATATAGGGTGTTCTATTTAAAATTCATACATTTTTTGTTGCTTCCTGTATATTTTTCCAAATTGTATCTGTAGATTGATTCGAAAAGGGAAAAAATCCCCTGTAGGGCAATTTTTATTTTTTTTTACTGTCAAAAATTAAAGAGTGATAGGTGGTGGTACTTCAAAACGTACCACCCGGTACAGGGTAACGAGCAAAATATTGAAAAAATCGCGGTCTGACGGACAATATTTGGATTTTTACAATCAATTTCCATAGTGCTTGAGTCCAGCGATTTTACCTTGGGATTTAGCCAAACAAGCGAAAACAAATATACAGGGTAATATGTACACGAAGATCATTCGAAGCACCAACTCAGTTATTCCAGAAAAAACTGAATCGCCCTGTACTTATTAGCAAGTTATTCGGTAAAAAATGAAATGATTTTAATTCACCAACATCATTGTTTCTCGAAAAATTGTTTTCTTGTGATTATTGGTACATGAAAATATTGCCAGCTTTCACTAGTATACCGGGTGTCAACGAATTCATTAAACAAGCCATTGTTCCCAGAGTTTCGAAAATATGAGATTCAAATTTGGCAGGGGTGAACTATTCGAGAATTAGAAAATTTTGTAGTATTTCATGATCTCCTATCACTTATCACTTATTCACCGGAAACGATCCCAAGTTTTGATATTCGAATCGGTTAGGGATTATTATAACGAATTCAAGGATACCGGATACCGATTTTATTAGGGTTGTTTCAAACCATTACGTAAATATTCGCGTCCAAAATTAATGTGAAAGAAATTGCGATATTGTGCATATGGATATTTCCAACGCAAATATCTTTCTAACCGTTCAAAATAACCCGAATTAAACTCGATATCGTTGAATTTGTTATGATAATCCCTAGATCATGAAATAAAATACAGGATGTCCAATTTGAATATGAAAGATGGAATCGTTCACGGTGAAACTGGAAGTGATGGGAAAGTATGGAATATTAAGAAAATTTCCAATTCTTGAATCCAACATTCCTGTTGAATATACCTTCAGAATTCTGGAAGCCATGGCTTGTCTAATGAATACGTTGGCATCCAGTATGTGGAAAATGTTGAATAACGAAAAACGGAACGAAAATCTTTATTCAAGTGGCTAATCATCAAGAAGATGTGTGTGTACAAAGAACATGATATACAGGGTAACTCACGGTCGATGGTACGTTAGACGTTTATGGAGAACGGGACATAGGATCATTCTGAAATTTTGGTTACTCACGTAGTTGCTCTTGGTTTATCGATCTAAAATATTTTCAGCTCTGCAACGTTGCCGCTTCTATCGAAAAGTAGCAACAACTTTGTTATTTTAAATGGAACACCCAGTATTTTATTGCATTTTCAGATTCTCTCTGAAGAGCTGATTTCATCGATGTATCACACTTGGGGTCTAGCGAAATGATTACAGAGATATAGGGTGTGAAAAATCGACATTTTTCAACTTTAGGAATTTTTTTTGTCGAAACTATTCATTATTGGTCAAAACGGCTCACAAGTACCTATCTCAACTCTTGATCAACTATCTACTGACATTTAATTGAAACAAATACAGGGTGGTGCAGAATTCAGAATCTTGATCACCCGGTATATGTCCCAATTAAATATCAGTAGATAGTTAATAAAAGTTGAGATAGGGACATGTAAGCCGTTTTGACCAATAATGAATAGTTTCGACAAAAAAAATTCCTAAAGTTGAAAAATGACGATTTTTCACACCCTATATCTCTGTAATCATTTCCGCTAGACCCCAAGTGTGATACATCGATGAAATCAGCTCTTCAGAGAGAATCTGAAAATGCAATAAAATACAGGGTGTTCTATTCAAAATAACAAAGTTGTTGCTACTTTTCGATAGAAGCGGCAACGCCGCAGAGCTGAAAATATTTTAGATCGATAGACCAAGAGCAACTACGTGAGTAACCAAAATTTCAGAATGATCCTATGTCCTGTTCTCCATAAACGTCTAACGTACCATCGACCGTGAGTTACCCTGTATCTGTATAACTAAATGTTTATCAAGATGACTTAACAATAATGGTACTATTTTCATTCTCGAACCTAACGAACCAAAATATAAAAAATTATCGGCTGTCTTGAAATAGATAATTGATGATATAAACAATGTGCAAGCATGTATTGGGTGATTCACCATAAATGTCCTCCCCTCTAGCTCAGTTATTCTTGAACCGATCCGAACATTTTAAAAATCATTTCAAATGATTTTTGATACATTTTTTTCCTGCTACATCAGAATATTCAGGGTGCTCAGAACAAACGATCTACAGGGTACTAGTTGATTTTTTTAAATGGAACACTCTGAATTTCATCGCATTTTTGAATTCTCCCTGAAGAGCTGATTCCATCAATGCATCACACTTGGGGTCTAGCGGGAATGATTACACAGAAATAGGGTGTTCAAAATCGAGATTTTTCAATTTTAGGATTTTATTGTGTCGAAAATATTCATTATTGGTTAAAACGGGTCTCATGCCCTTGTCTCAACTTTTGATTTACTATCTACTGACATTTATTAATTGGAACAGAAACAGGGTGATCAGAATTCTGAATCTTGAACAACCCTGTATTATTTCAATTAAATGTCAGTAGATAGTAAATCAAGAGTTGAGATGGGGACATGTGAGTCGTTATGACCAATAATGAATATTTTCGACACAAAAAAAATCCCAAAGTTGAAAAATCTCGATTTTGAACACCCTATCTCTCTGTAATCATTTCCGCTAGACCCCAAGTGTGATGTATTGATGATATCAGCTCTTCAGGAAGAATCTTGAAATGGGATGTCCCATTTGAAAAAATCAACTAGTACCCTGTAGATCGTTTGTTCATAGCTCCCTGTATTTTCTGATGTAGCAAGAAAAAAAAAAATTATTTCAGATGAACTTTAAAATTTTGAAATCGGTTGAAAAATAAGTGAGCTAGAGGAAGGGACATATATAGTGAATCACCCTGTTGAAGAACTAGTTTGGCCATTATTTCAGAATCGATAGAAATAATTTTCCGTATGTCAATTTGAATATGCATTTATACATATAGTTGACAAATTGTGATGTAAAAAGTGAACCTGCATAAAAATATGAAATTATTTTTAGTAAAATTAC